CTAAAACTAAGAAAGATTGAAGAAAAAGAAACATTGCGTTTTAAACCTTAACCGTATGACAATAAAGTGCACAATGGTATTTCGTATTGCAACCTAAGCCCTGGTTGTCTCTTATTGGTCGTAGTAAAAATATAGTAAAATGCGTAACCAATTAGAGACGGGGTGAGCACGTGACCGGAGCGATGCGCTTACGCTAAAATTTCTACAAAGTGGTCAGGCGGAAGAGTCCCCGATAGTACCTACTGGATTAACGATTAACGGACTTAGGATAATTTAACGGAAGTTAACGAGTCCGTTAACATTTTTTAAAGTTAACTTAAAAGTTAATCCGTTGATAGAGATGTTAACTTCGTTAATTAACGATTAACGGATTAACGAATTAATGCGCAGCTATGGATACCCCACACGTAACACATACTATGTGTTTGATGAAAAAAAAAATTGAGTTTCAGTTTTAAGTATGGGGAGCCCCCAATATTTATTTATTTATATTTATTTTTGAATCAAAATCTTAATGCGGTTCACAGAATACATCTACCTACCAATTAAGTTTCAACAGTATAGCTCTTATAGTTTCGGAAAAATATGGCTGTGACATAAAGATGGACAGACAGACATGACGAATAATGTGGTTCCGTTTTTTGCCATTTAGCTACGGAACCCTAAAAATAAGCTTTTATTCTGAAATGCATTTGTACCAAAACGAAAAAAAATAATTATAAATTATAAATAAATAAAAATATCCTTGGACATTTAACACTGCGCTTCTAGTCCCAAACTAAGCAAAGCTTGTACTATGGGTACTAGACAACGGATATAAACATACTTAAATACTTTTTTTTTGTAAATACATACTTATTATACATAGAAAACACCCAGTCCAATACAAACAAATATGTTCATGAACACAAATGTTTGTACTGTGCGGGAATCGAACCCGCTACCTCCGGGATAGTAGTCCGTTTCGAACCACTACACCAAACGGCCGACTTATGCAAGCCTAGGTTCAAATAACTTCGAAAGCTTGTAGCGCAAACATAAAACAGGAATAAATTGCATGCGCGATACAAGCTTTCGAAATTATTTGAACCTTGCATACAAAATTTTTTTTTTTTTCGTTTTATTAGCATGTGTTAACGGATTCAAAGTCAAAGTCAAAGTCAAAATTTCTTTATTTGTTTGGACTAATAAATAGTTCTTACAAATCGTCATTTTGCTCTTAAGGAGCCTCTACATGTCTCATAATCTTTTTACCCTACCATTAACCTACGATTAACGTTAACTTGCGTTAAATCTTCCGAAATGTAACGTTTTAACGTTTAACGAAGCTAATTTTATTATTAACGGTTTAACATTTAACGAAGTTAACTATTTGATTAACGGTGCCCAGCTATGCTTAAAACGAATTTTAATAATGGAGAAGTTTCCTGATGTTGAAAACATTATACTTCTCTGCATGGGATTAAAATATAGACCAAAACTAAAAAGACGGTGAAGGTTTTTTTGAAATCCATCAAGAAATAGCTGAAAATTAATTATTTACCTACTTACATATTTTCGCGTGGAACTCAAACAGGCGGTGCCGTAATGTCACGCAGCCCGTTCTAGTTTCAAAAACAATGCTTATGTACGGCTGGTCTTAGTGTCACGCGGATTGTCCGGTGCGGACCCGCTCCGCACGGCCAATCTGTATGAACTGCTTACTAGAGAGCGGAGCGGTTCCTCCGGACCGCTACTCTAAAACGCTGGGGGCATGCGCTGACAAACTTTCAGCCTTTATAAAATAACATGGTTAAAGATGACCCAAGCTGAACTGTCCCACCAAACTCAATGACAGGGGGGCGCTACCATCGTTCAACTATATGGTTTCCAACATGGCAAAAATCGGAACCAGCGATCCGGTATTGACGGTGGCGCCCCACTGTCAATGTCATGCATAGGACAGTTCAGTATTTTAGAACTATATGTGGCGTACCTATATTGGAGTATAGTTCCAAAATACTGGACTGTCCTATCGATGACATTGACAGTGGGGCGCCACCGTCAATACCGGATCGCTGGTTCCGACTTTTGTCATGTTGGAAACCATATAGTTGAACGATGGTAGCGCCCCCCTGTCATTGAGTTTGGCGGGACAGTTCAGCGTGGGTCATCTATAGCGCTTTGTTGTTGTTTTTGTATCATGTCAATGAGGGTTTTCGCGAATGAAAGATCCGCTAGATGGCGGTGGATGTGGGGTCTTACTGCTGCGTGATTGGTGGATTTTGACATATCTGTCAATGTCATGTCAAAAATAGCCAATCATGCAGCATTTGGAAGGATAATATTTGGAAGAATATTTCTTTATTATTGATTTAGAGTAGAATTTACACAAAACACCTATAGTTATGCAGAGCGTTGTCTCCTGGCACAGGCAATCATACGCCTAAAAGGAGGCTTCGTCTATTAGTATTTATGTAAGCCTTTATAAAGAAATAAAGAATTTAGAATTTTTTTTTTTTTTGGACCTCGCGTCTACGTATTGCCATCTGGCGGATTTTTCATTCGCGAAAACCCTCATTGATTATTCCTTTTTGTGTCAATTTGTTACTCAATTTTCTGTGCATAGATTGGGTAAACTGCTATTGCTGGGATTAAAACGGAGGAAAAAACTCGATTGGAAATAGAAAAAATACTTAAATATTAAATAAATAATACTCTGTTTTAAATAGTATAATCACATCGTTTATTAGTATATGTTTAGTGTACCTTATTGCATGACTTGATATAAGCTATAAGTATTTCATGTAGCTTGGCATGGCAACACTTAGGTTTCACTCGACAGCGGGTGGCGGGCGAGCGGAGCGCGCGGGCCGCGCCGGCGGGGCGGGTCGGCCCGCGCGCTCGCGGCGGCGCGGCGGCTTCGCCCGCTATTGGGAGTCAGTACAAGTCGGACAGATGGAATACATTGTTTTAGTAACAATTTTCAAAACTGTACAGTGTATAAACATTTGGCATTGATATAAACTCATTTTATACATACATGGAGAGTACCCGTGAACTAAATAAAAATAAATTCTTTGTGTATAATTTTAGAAATCAAATTTTATAGGTTTTAAACGATTTAACATTTTTAATTAACGTTCGGTATGGGTCATACCATAGAGGTTCTTTTAGGCACTGAATAACTCGTTTCGGTTCGCCAAATTCGTATTCTATATGAAAAACGAGAACATTGAGGTCGAACACTACAGTCCAGTCAGATCTCACAAGACTCACGGTCGGAGGACTCGCAGGCGGTGCTGCGCTCACGTGGATATCGTAAGACTAGCATTAATACCTATGCCCGGGCGGGCGCCGGGCGACTCATACACTACAACACCGAATATGCCGATTAATACATTTCACTATTACTATAATGGTTACATGCGAAGATATAAGATACAGCAAAAAAAGTCTGTCCACATTAAAGCATAATATAAGCATAAAACGTTTGTTCAAAATTCCTATTTCTTTGGATAATAGTAAGCTTTACAAGTTACTCTTAACGATTTTAATATACAAACACCGAAGGGAGCGCTGTGCTCCCGTGCTCGTCATTATTGCTCGTTCCTCATGCGTCGCGCTACGTTAAGCCTTCGTTCGTATCGCACGAGATTGTCATGAAAAATATTAATAAACCTTAAGTATATAAAATTTCAACATTAGGCATAGCTTATAATTTCGGGTACCTAATCTATTGAGTCCCCAAATATATCGTTAACATCGACTTTAATATAAACCGGTTACAACATTACATACTAGGAGTCGGATCTATAATTCGAGATCACTAATGTAAACAAACGTGATGCCGTTACAATACTAATAAATAACATTTTGACACCACAAGTTACACTTTTTCCCCGATAGAAATTTCACATAATCCTAGTCGGTGTTGTATAACTACAAGTCATACTATTAAACCATTTCCGCGGTCCTGTTTGGACATCCTAAGAGACATGGTAAAAATGTGAAATTGTATTCAAGAACTAATACAGACTCGTGGCACAGTAGATATATGAGCTAAAGCAGTACGGAAACTTAGCCCTTTCGGCGAGTTAAATACCTACACTTCAACTGAGTGTTAGGGTTGGCACTCTTAATCTTTATAAAATTAATAAGGTTCTGACTTACTTATTTATTAAAACGTTTATTTAGGTTTTTTAATTATCAAATACCTAATGGAATAAATTAATTGACTTAGGGCTGATTTTTCAATAGTCGGATAACTTTATACTTGAGAATAAGTTTGGCACATTGACAGTTTCAGTATGGAAAATATGTCAAAATGACAAGTTTCTTCTTCAGATAAAAGATATCTGACGATTGAAAAATCGGCTCTAAGNTTTCGATATCGCAGTAAATGTCACGGCACTGAATTCGTTCGTAAAAATGTTTACTTTTTTTTATTTATAAGCAAAATACCAATGGATTTGCAATACTTACATGTGGTAAATGACTTCATTGTTCCTGTAGTTCTTCGTTTCACTTATGTTATTGCACGTTACGACGCATTATCCAACAATATCGGAGAACATTTCCTCAGTACGACTGAATCGCGACTAACCTGGCGTCGCGGGCGATGTTCGTTTCTGGGCATATCGCGGAGACACGCGCCACGCCCCCGTTTCACATCTATTCCCTTCTATGATCTGAGTAAAAACACAACGCGCGCGACACTCGCGACGGATGGACTGCGAGGTTCGCTTAGAGCTCGTGTAAAGCGTGCGTCTGTGTGCGTGAGTCTGATTTCGAGCGTTTGTATGAAGCTTCCGTACTGTTTGATTTATCTACTGTGCTCGTGGTTTGCACAGAGCACTTGACCGCTACCAGTTCACCACGTCAACACCGACTTGCGAATCAGTCGTGCCGGCTGGTGGCCGTCCTGTAGTCGCGGACGAGAGCAAGCTAGCCTTGATGTCGGCATCTGAGCTTACTGAGACAGTAAGATAATGCAGGTTTTATGAATAAAAACAATATAATAAATTAACTGTAATTTATTAAAGTTTTTACATTGTACATTAAATTTAATTTACAGACAGTTGGGTACAAGTGCCTGCGACCGCCACTGCAACTTCGCGTAGCATTAAGAAATTCGGAACTTCACTGGATGCAAATTAAAGCTTAAAATCTTTTTAGTTCCAATGCGTAGCTTTAATGTTTTAAGTAAAAGGTATTATTAGTATGCAGGTTCACTGGTTTTAAATTAAATATAAATGTTTGATAAAGCCTGCACACTATTATGGTGTTACTGGGTTATATTACTAGTACTTGTCACACGTGTAGTGGTGTACAAGTACAAATAACTTCAAGAACATTGAAGGCCTTCCCGAGCGCCCGGAGCCGCGCCGAGTGCTGCACTACACAAAATCAAAAAAATTTTTCTTTAAATAAAGTTTGGCAAAATTATACCAACAATTTTTTTAGTAAATGATCGTGACAATATTAATAGCTAGGTTATTTAAAACCTTTTTATATGTCAAAACAAGCACATTTGATGTCCTTAATAATTTGTCGTACCTTTTGCCATGCATTTGCCTTTTGCTTTGCACTCTCCAGAAAATAGTTAACTAGTATACAGGGTGTCCCGTAAAGAGCGTGCCAAACTTAAGGAGATGATAAGAGTTATTGAATTTGAATTTATGGATGACCATTTATACAAAATAAGCGAATTTTTCATAAGCTATAACCAACGACATCAAAATTGAGTTCGAAAATTCATGTTTCCAGCTTCCATACATTTAGCTGCCACAACTTACTAGTACTGTTAAAAAAATTAACTCAGAAGAAACTCGTGAATTGCATTCCTATTTAAAATTATTCATGGAAAACATTGGTTTTAGGCTTTTTTGCAAGAGATGATGTTCCATGTGACTGTAGGTACTAAATGTATGGAAGCTACAAACATTGAATTTTTCAATAGATTCAATAAAGTGAATCTATTGAAAAATTCAATGTTTGTAGCTATGTAACCTACAAATGACACCGTTTAATAAAGCTCGTGAAGCTCTTTCAGGATCAGTAGGTAACCAGTTTCTTGATATCAATAGTTAAGAAATAATCAAGTGAGATCACTTATCGTTTTCACCCCTTATAATAGTAGTAAGTAGTAGTAGTAGTAAGTAGTAGTAGAAAGAAGTAGTAAGGATATTAAATTATACATATCACTGTAAAAAGTTGCAGAAATCGGCAAATCGGACTTTCCAATATATCGTAAGAGATAGCATAACAGAAAAGTAATGAGCAGTGAATACATTTTCACCTTACGCCCACGTACGACAGCGAAACGGTCATGACACATGTTTAGACTGAGGTGTACTGTTAGAAGCTTGGCTATACATGAGATTTGATAACTTTTTCCAGACCAGTCATACGACGAGCTATACGGTTCCTTTTGACATTTTACATGAATATGTTTTTGGTACGATTTCCTTATTCCAGACTTAATATTTGGCGTTGTCTTTGACTAGTACCAGGGATATGACATATTTTAGTGTCCTTTTATTTGTTGTAACAGAATAAATTTAAGATTTTGAACTTTCGCGTTCCATTTCTGCTTAAATAGAAAGACCCTAAACGTCAAGCCGTGAGTGCGTAACGTAACTCATTAATAAATGTTGCGTTAAGACCCGTGTCTTTCTATTTAAGTCAGAATTAATTTGTATTAGACTTAAAATTCGAAATTGAACTCTCCCGCCATCGGCATTTGAACAACATTGAATCAGTATTTCCACCAATGATTATAAATCAAAGCCGGTTTCAAGACGTCATCGGATCCAAGGCGAGTTGTTCACACAACAACACGCTTGGCACGTGTCACACGTGTCGTGCGTTTGCAAGACCACACACTATAGTCAATTTTATTCCGAGTCAGTTGTCATACAATTTACCGCGTGACCTGCAAACGCACGACGACCGACACCAAACGTCTAAATTGAAAGCGCCCTAAGTAGCGACTGAGTACAATCCAACAATGTTAACGAATACCAGTTTGACAACGATATGAGTTTATTTACAGTTGTGATCTCAAATTAAAAATCTGACTGTGAAGATTAACTACGATAACGTCGAAGCGTTGTGCGGCGGCTCAAGCGGCGACGCCGGCGGGCTCTCGACGTAAGGTTAATTAACATAATCTAATACCAATATTATCATTGTAATAAATATTTTTCAGTCTTTGGTTCCATTCCAGTTCATTGCATACGAGACACGAGTACGAAGCGTCGCGCGGCCGCGCGGCGGCGCTCGCGCGTCTCTAACTCTAGTATCGCCTACCAGTAACACATCCAATATTCATTATTACAAAATGTATTGCACGGAAATTTAAGTTCGTCAAAAATCACAGGAAGTTTCGCGAGATCTAACATTATCAGCAACGAGCCGCCGCAAGCGAAGCGGGGCTCCGCGGCACCGCGCGCGTGCCGAGCGATCTATATCATACCAACACGACTATAAACACTTATTACCATTACTGTACAAATCAAAGTCCATTCTTAATAATTTAACTCGCACTCGCCAGTTGGAGCGGTGTCGGGTGCAAGCGTCACACACTATGTACACGCCGGCCGCGTCGCCGCCGGAACTTGGCAAACCAACAAGCAGCGCGGAATTTTGAACAACGTCTCTATGCGAAAAAGAACCTCTTATGAGCTCTAACGTGCAACAACAAACAATCGGTTCATAACTTGATATGTTCCTCACGTGACCGCGCCACGTCGCTCGCGCCGCGCGGTCGGCTGAGACATGCGCGAGCTGACAATAATTTATTACAATTTTATTCCCTACGGCGAGTAATATTAACAAAATAATTTTAAATGCTTCTACAGAAAGAGGATCAGTCAGTCTCTCATGAATACAAAGAAACATTTTGAATTTGAAATCAAACCACAGGTGTCCTACATAGCTGTAGAGTGTTCAGGCTTGCGCAGCGGCGCGCGCTCCTCATTCCGCCAGGAGGTCTGCGGACAAACAGGGCGGTTACTGACTGTCGCTGGTGGAGGGTTCCGTAGTTGCCCATCTTGGTCGACTATAACTCTAAGACAAACTGATTACAGCTCTCCAGTGCCAGCGGTTTCTTGTCAGGGCTTGATAGGACTACAAGCTGATTACAACTCTCCAGTGCCAACAGTTCCTTGTCAGGACTTGATAGGCCTACGGAACCCTAAAAAACGGTTGGGTTACGAGATAATGTATATGTTGCAGTCAAAACTCATGAATTTTTAATTTTAAACCTTTTTCCTTTGCAATTTGAAATGAAATGGCCATCCAAACACGAGAGGAGTAAATCCGGAATTGTATGCTTTTTGAGTTTCGCGAGTGTAGTAACACATCAGTTGCGACCAAAAACATTTCCGATTTTTATACAAGTGCATTAGACGTTCATGAATCATCATCATATCAGCCACAGGACGTCCAATGCTGAACATAGGCCTCCCCCAATGACTTCCACATCGCACGGTTGGTAGCGGCCTGCATCCAGCGCCTTCCTGCTACCATCCATATCAGGTCGTCGGTCCACCTTGTGGGTAGACGTCCCACGCTGCATTTTCCGGTACGTGGCCTCCACCCTTGCTGCCCCATCGGCCGTCAGTTCTGCGTATTATGTACCCTGCCCATTGCCCTTCAGCTTGCTAATCCGTCGGGCTATGTTAGTGACTTTAGTTGTTTTACGGATCTCCTCATTTCTGATTTGATCTCGTAAAGAAACACTGAGCATAGCCCTTTCCATAGCAAGCTGTGCAACTTTGAGCTTCTTTATGAGGCCTATAGTGAGAGGCTACGTTTCGGAGCCGTATGTCATCACTGGTAACACATACGGATTAAAGACTTTCGTCTTGAGGCATTGAGGTATTTTGGACGAAAAGATGTTATTTAGCTTCCCGAATGCTACCCAGCCGAGTTGGATTCGACGATTGACCTCTTTCTGAAATTGGACCTACCTAGTTGAATCGTTTGTCCAAGGTGATAAAAAAACTCATAAAATTCATTTATTTCTGCAAATAAGCTTTAAAAAAGCACATTTACACATCCCAACTTGTCAACAATCTCGAGAATCGAGCTCCCAACCGAAAACGGGTACGGATATAAGCTTCGTTTTGTCCATGTTTATCCGAATGTTCCGTTCATTTTCTTGTTCCGTTCATGAATGCCTAAGATGGTTTTCCATATCCAGATCAGCTAATTTGGACCTTTTTTACTGCTATCGATCAGGAAGCTCATCGACATTAAATGACGGACATCCTAATGGGATAAGTGGATTAAAATCCATTTCAAACACTCGAGGAACTGTGAAATACCGTAACTAGCCTTGGTCGATCATCCTGAAACATTTACAGCAGATTCAAAAAATAAGCAGATCAAATTTTCTGGTCTCCCATAATCTTTAAGAAAATGAGGCCAGCTGATCCATCAAATGCAACTTACTGCTACAACAGCACCATGCAGAACCATTTTTTTATCACTGGAGACGATAAATGGGTTCTATAGGACAAACCAAGACGCAAAAGGTAGCGACTCTCTTCAAATGAATGACTACGAAAAACTGCGAGCCAGGGTCTAAATTTCGAAGAGGCGTTCCAGTATTAGGCTCGTCATTTCATCTCAAATAAAAAAAAGTTGAATATTGGTTTATACACGAGTGTACGTACACGAAGACCCAAGAGCTAGATTGACCCGACACTATACCGAAGATATCCCGGACGTCCAGTCTGTACGAGATTAGAATGGCTCTCAAACAGCTGAAAAACAACAAGGCACCCAGTGATGATGGAATCATGGCTGAGTTTCTAAAAGCAGGCGGTACGCCGGAACTAAAGGCTCTTCAAAGGCTGTTCGATTCCGTCATACTCGAGGGAAAAACGCCTACGGCTTGGCACAGAAGTGTGGTGATTCTTCAAAAAAGGCGACAAAACCTTGTTGAAAAATTATAGACCGATCTCACTTCTGAGCCATGTCTACAAGCTGTTTTCGAGAGTCACCACGAATCGTCTTGCACGTAGGCTCGACGATTTCCAGACTCCCGAACAAGTCCGTTTCCGAAAAGGCTATATAGTACCATAGACCACATACGCCACACTCGTAATTGTTGACAATTACANCACAGATCGACGCGAACACTTAATGGTTTTCGAAATTTCAACTTGAGATTTCCCTTGTTCAAGAAGAAACTGAATTTTTATGCGTTTTTCTAAACTAAGTTCGTTCGTTTTTGAAAAACGCAGAAAATTAAAACGTTAAATCTTCAAAATGCACTTGTTTACTGTCGTTCACAAAGAGAGATATCTCCGAACTGATAATGCTTTTACTAACAATACTACAATATCATAGCTAAACATGTCGAAACGTGTTTTATTTCACGTTTGACGTGAGTTTATGTTTCGAATCCTTGCAAAGAAAGGTTTCATATCAAATATCTTTGAGTTTCTTTTATAGTTATCATGTATATGCAGTATTTACGGGGTGCTCAATACTTTTGGCCAAGGCTGTATGTATACCTGGGACAAACAGTCCAGTTAGGTAGGTCCAACTTCGAGAAAGAGGTCAATCGTCGAATTCAACTCGGCTGGGCAGCGTTCGGGAAGCTTCGCGATATTCTCACGTCCGAAATACCGCAGTGTCTCAAGGCAAGTCTTTGACCAGTGTGTGTTGCCAGTGATGGTATACGGATCTGAGACGTGGTTGCTGGTCGTGGCCCTTAGGGCCTCATAAGAGGGCTCAATGTCACCCAAAGGGCGATGGAGCGTACTATGCTCGAAGTTTCCCTGCGTGATCGAATCAGAAATGAGGAAAACCAGAGTGACTTACATAGCCCGCAGAATCGCTAAAGTCAAGTGGCAACGGGCGGGGCACATAGCTCGGTAGAGCTGATGGCCGCTGGGGTAGCAAAGTTGTTGAGTGGCGACCACGAGCCGGGAGACGTAGCGTGGGCAGGCCTCCAGGCCAGGTGGAGCGTGCGCGAGGGGGGGGCGAGGGGTGGAGACGGGAGGGCACTGACCGGCGAGCGGGCGGCGCGGGCGGAAGCCGCGGCCGCCGTCGGGCCCGCGCGGCGCGCGCAGCACCACGACGCGCGGCCCGGCCGCCTCCTCCAGCGACGCCGTGCGCAGGCGCGCCAGCAGCCGCTCCGGCCGCTCGCCGCGCGTCTTGCCCGCGGTCTTGCTGGAACACGCATTCGCACTCTTGAGGCCACACCGAACAATGTGAGCGCGGCGTTTAAGTTTTATCATTATCTGATTCCTACAGGAGCGTGATCCTCCTAACTTTACCAGAGGAAAATGAAGGATTTGTTTTTGTTTGTCCTGCACTTCCCACGCTAGTCAGATTACTTGTGAAAGTTTGCATATTTATCACAGTCGCCTTTTACAACATGAAATGAAATAATGCTCTGCCCTATTTTACTATATCGGATCTAATCGGCTATGGTATGTAATGAAATTAAACGTTTTAACTTCAATGATCAATACCAGATTTGACTAAGTATATACCAACATAGATTACAAATCATTTTAAAATCATTCCAACCATTATAGCGATTAGCCCGATAGCCTAGAAGCTATCAGATATATCTGTTGCTATTAGATATTATCATAAATGCCAAAATGATGGTCCAAATTGAATAAAATATTGTTGATTCGATTTGTTGTGTGGGTGTCTGGAAGGCAACTCACGCGACTTTGACGACGTTGCAGGCGGAGGACTTGCCGTTGCGCGGGTTGGTGAGCATGACGAACTCCACGGTGTCGCCGGGCGCCAGCTCGGACGGGTTGCCGCGCACCTCCGACATGTGGAAGAACAGCCGCCGGCAGTCCTCGCCCTCCACCGACAGGAAGCCGAACCCGCCTGCGGACAACGCTCACTGAGCCACGCGCCACGAGCCACGAGCCACGCGCCACGCCTCCAGCCACACGCGCAGTGGCGCCGGCGGCGGTCTGTACACTCACGCGAAACTTCGCCGCTTGAGGCAATGGATGACAAAGGTCTGTTCACTGTATAAATAGGTCCAGGGTACAAATCACTACTATTTAAATATTAAGCTGTCTCTTAATTTGAGAGTTTCTAACATAGTTTGTGGGTGATAGAAGTCCACTCTTGATAAATGAAAATAATCCGTAATCAAACTTTAAGGGCGTGGTCTATGGAAATTTTTATTGATGAAAATACTTTACACTTTTTAATACTTCCACACCATCCTAAATGAAATGTGAAAAGTCCTCAATGAACGATCATTTAAAAAAAAAGGTTTCGAAGTCCCAAGTATTTTGCATTTTTCCGCCAAGTAGTAAACATATCATAAGAGTAGATAAGAAATAGTAGTAGACTATAGAATTATCTATTAAAATTGTCCTTACTCCTTTTAAGAGTCACGGTTTATGAGGTAGAACGATTCAAAAGTCAGTCCCTGTATTACTTAAACCCTACCACTGCTTCGGGACGGTAAATGCAATAGGCCAGTGTTGGGAAGAAGCAACGCAAGAAACTCTTGAATAATAAACTTAAACATAAATGAAAGGTGAATTTAGTACGAATGCAGGTTAGGGCCAACATAAAATAAATGTAGCGGCTCGGAGCAGTTCACAAGCGAACACGGACTAGCATCAGTGCCACATTACGTATGTAGTGAATGATATGTACATGCGTGTGAACCTTTGATGGCATCGACCGTGGCGCGGCGCTTCTTGCGCACGGGCACGATGTTGGCGGCGCGGCCGTCGGCGTCGGCCTGGAACGTCACGGGGTCGCCGACCTGCAGGATCTCGCGCTTGCACGCCAGCCCCGTGATGCCGAACTCGTACGCCGCGCCCGACCCGTCCGCCTGGATCATGCCTGCGCACACACACCCACACACCCGTCTCCGTCAACTTGCTCGCCAATCGCCATGCGATCGACTCATTCGCATTTCACGGGACAGGACGGATACTGTCTCTAGTACAATCAATGCGATCATTTACTAAAGTGGAGTCATTTTAATAGGCAACATTTGACGACTGTCAGTTTTATCTTCATAGAGATGACGTGCTTAAAAACGTCGATTAAAGCGAATGAATCGATCGGACTTCAAACATAATGTGAATTTTCAAAATCATCAGACCAATCCCTGTTCAATTATTATTTTTCTTTCGTAAATTTAAGGAGCAAAATAAGACAAGTACATAATTTAAGAAAAAAAAATGCATTTATTCCGTTGAACTATCGGAGCTGTTATTATAGTTCCAATATACAGAACTGTCCTATCCTTGACATTGACAGCTGGGCGCCACCGTCAATACCGGATCGCTGGTTCCGATTTTTTGCCATGTTGGAAACCATAATAACTGAACGATGGTAGCGCCCCCTGTCATTGAGTTTGGTGGGACAGTTCAGCGTGGGTCATCTATTGTCATCTTCATCACTGCTGACAGCACTCAAGAGATATTTTCATTTTCAATAATATAACCTTATATTCTCACATCTCGTTCAAAATCTTGTAAAATTATTTTCTTTGTTGTCTCTACGACTTTTTGCCAGTCTTCTGTAGTGACTTCTGCACACGCAGTTTGTAGCAGTCATCATTGTAGCAGTACTGAAAGGTGGTTCAGTATTGTTCCGCGCTGCATGACCCTTTATTTGTGCCCAAATAAGCTCGATGGCGTTATAATAGCAATGATAGGGAGGCAATCAAATAACTTCGTGTTATCAGCTTTCGATTTTAAGAATAACATCCCTAGTGTTTTAAACGTTTAAAAAGAAAAAGGGTTAACTGACGCAACATTGTAACGACGTTCAGTTCTTTAGACCAGAAATTGTTTATTATGTTCAGAATGGTTTATTAGGGAAAGCAAATCTTATCGGTCATTATTATAATAAATATGCAATCGTAATTGAAAAAAGTTAAGCAATTTAGCAGTTGTAAGAAAAAGAAAATTTTTTTATTTCAAGCTCGCCGTTACAAGGTTACGTTTTTGAATTTGGATGCGTGGAGTGTGGAGTGGAGGCTCCCTGCAAGTGTCGGGTGGCGGGTGTCGGGTGGGGGGTGGCGCACCTGAGTAGTGCTGCTGGTCGGGGTTGAGCGCGCGCAGCGTGCGCGTGACGGTGCCGTGCAGCGTGGGCTCGAGCGGCGCGGCCAGCGGCACGGAGCCCCGCGGCAGCGCGCGCACCCACTCGGCGCTGGCGCAGCCGCCGCCGCCCGCGCCGCCGCGCCCCACGCTGTACTCCACCTCGGCGCCCGGCTCCAGCGCGTCCGGCGACCCGTCCAGGTTGCTGCGCACCACACCGTTACACATCACACCGCTGCACGCTGCACGAACACCGACCATTTTCAACTTTTTGGTCGATGTGCGTAGCAACGTGGTACATATTAAACAAAAAGAGTTAGCCTAGGCAAGTTAATAGAATATAAAAATCGTAAAACAATCTGTACTTGACAAATGACGATGTATAATAAATAGGGGGTCAATAACTTTTAAAACTTTGTGATAAAGATAATACACTCAGCGGCACGGAATTTGGCCCAAACCTAAACAACCAGATATGAGGCCAAATAGCTGTTGTATACCTAAGTTTTGTGTGACATGTTAACAGAACATATGTTTTTGTTAATTTAAGAGACTATATTTATAAAAAAAAATTCCGTCTGTTTAACTTTTTTCACTCTAGAAACGCATTTCGTTGTTGGAGGGTAAAGAGTACGGGCACGTACGGGTAAGTTTAAATTCTATAATATTAATTGACGTAAGGGTTTGGAGTTTTTTTTTTCTTTTTAAATTAATGTTAGGGTTATTCTCGTGTCCATGATTTGAGAATAATGCCCATAACTCCAGCTCAAGTTGCTCAAATAGTATTGCTTAGAAGTCAAGGGAGTCTGCAGCGGGAGATGGAAACTTTCAATTTATCGCGTACAAACTTAAGATACAAGTTAAAAAGGCATGACAAGACCTCCCTTTACACAAGAAGACTAAGAAGTGGGGGATTAAGGTGTATACCAGCGCGCGATGATCATCGTACTTGCAATATCAAGAAATCGGGTTCTCACTACGTTTGAGTTACGCCAGCGTTTACAAACAGCAAGCCCAGTGAATGTCAGTGAGCACACAATAAGAAGAAGAATGGAGGAACATAACCTACATACTCGAAGACCAGCTCGAGGACCAGAACTTCTCCGATACCTTCGCGAAGTGCGACTTAGGTTTCGTAGAGAACAAGCAAATTGGACGCAAGGCTAATGGAGTTCGAATCACGATTTTTCTGTTCAGTTTGGGTGGTATTTAAAAAAATGTATGCTCAATGTCATTAACAATATGGTGTAATTTAGCTTGTCTCAAGACTCGAGCACCATTTTGTTGACAAACGTCAGTGATCGGTACTGACTACTGACCAAAGCCATAGGGCTGACTTCGGTAAAATGATGTGTGACGTGAGGTGCCCAACTGCGAAAAATGGCGGAGGAAATACATGAAGAAGCATAAATTATATTTTGTGTTTCTATTATTATTCAGGCATAGATAAAAGTTAAAAGTATGCCAAAATAGTATGGAGAGAAGTGTATTAGGAGTGAAACTTAAACACAAGATAAACCTAAACACAATAAAATCAAAAACCAAATTCAGAAGTGTTGTTGCAACAATTAGAAAGTTGAAATGGAAGTGGACGGGACACCTAATGAGGGAAAAGAGAGAGAAATGGACAAGAGCCGTAACGGAATGGTATCCCCGTGAAGGAAAAAGAAGCAGAGGCAGACAAGCGAAAAGATGGTAGGACGATATCCGCGAATTAGCAGGGCCATTATGGCCACAAATGGCTAGAAACAGAGGCTTCTCTGAGATCATTGGAGGAGGCCTATGTCCAAGGACAAACTGGAGATGAGTGCAACTAAATTGTAAAATGAAATGTTAATGTTGTAAAAATACCTTGTAATCCAGTAATAAAGGCTTATATTATTATTATTATTATTCAGGCAGTTAAAAAATACTATACTACATATACCAAGCGACGTCGTACTAAATGGATTCTACTGTATTTTTAAACTAGCTGACCCGGCCAACATTGTACCGCCTATGTTTATCAGAATTAATGTAATGGTATTCTAATGGTAAAATAATTTTTCAAATCGGTCCAGTAGTTTCGGAGCCCATTCAATACATCAAATATTCCCTTTTTCAATTTTAACAAAAAATAATTATTTATGAAACAATACTTTAGTAAGTAAGTATTCTCATGTTATCAAAACTGAAATATTCTCTAATGGTATATCGCACAAATGAACATGTAAATGAATATGATATGTATATTTAACATTGCAACAGAAAGCAAAACAAAGCTACAAAATTGGTCGCATAGCAAACAAATTCAAATAATATGAAATTAATTCAACAAAATTTAAACAAGCAGGTTTTTCTACATTTTGTATACGATATTTAAATGTGTTCAAGTTACCGATGGTATTCTAATAGGAGGCATACGTCAAGATCTTTAAATGATTACAGGAGTTATCTGATGACGCAAGCCACTGTACTTCTAGGCGGTTTTCGGCGATGGCTCTCTCGTTATAAATAACTAGCCTGTCCCCGCGACTTGGTGAAAATCATTCGAACATTTTTCCTTTTGCGCAACATTTTTCATTGAGGCTTTGCTTTTATTGTTCGTAGTTGTAATCAGGCCAATAGTTACTGAGATTAGCGCATTCAACCCAACAAATAAACAAACAAACAAAAACTTCATAATATGTTTAAAGTATAGTAGATGTTCAAAGGGAATTTTCGAATACTTCACCATAAAGGTTTTACCACGCTGGAAGCGGTCTGCGGTCAGGTCAAAGCGAACGCAGCCCGCATCATGTTTGAACAACATTGTCAATCTTTATACATTTTAACAGGTGAGGGCTGCGCTTATTTGACGCAGCACGCATTCAGCATGACAAATGCTAATTCACAACACATAATGTTTACAACAAAAACAAGCTAATAGCATTCGCAAACAGCTTCGCGCGCGTGAATTCGATTTGTTACAGTAGTACATTATCGCGAACGTGTTTTCGTTTCAAAAACTTTTCTATGATATTATTCCTAGGTTAGAAAATATCTCTATACCAAACACCATCTAAGTCGATTCAGTGGTTTAAGCGTGAAAAGGTAACAGATGGGTAGAGTTATCATCATCCAATAATATTGATTAGGCCCGGTTTCCACCAAAGGGAAGCCGGAGCAGAGGACTCTGTTGCATAACCAATCAGATTTCATTATTTCCACTTCTCGTCGTCTCGGGCCGCCGCTGTCAAATTCTATAGAATATTTTGACGGCCCCACACTTCTCCGCTCCGCTCTGCCTTGGTGGAAACGGGCCCTTATGATAATTACCTGCACGTAAATCTGCTTGAGCTCATCAAATGTTCTCAAGTACATAATATAGATAGACAATAAAAAATTAAATACTTTCGCAAAAGCTGACTGACCACATAAGTGTTAGTAACATTTCTTTATTTGACACGATTCACGATACATATTAGTATCAACGATATAAATGAGGGTTTTCGCGAATGAAAAATCAATTCAAGGCAATACGTAGAAGCGAGGTCCAAATGCTGCAAGTATGGTTATTTTTGACATGACATTGACAGATATGTCAAAATCCACCAATCACGCAGAAGTCAGACCCGACATCCACATCCCGCAATCTAGCGGATCTTTCATTCGCGAACGAAAACCCTCATTGATGGTAAACAGTAATAATATTTTTGGCTTTGAGACAAAAACTCGTCGTTTATAAGGATGCGCACTTTTTTTTGCGATATTGGGTATGTTTACCTGAAGTGGAAGAAGACTTCCTTGGTGTGGTCGGCGGTCTCGATGAAGCCGAAGCCGTCCTTGAGCGCGGCGATGAAGCCGTAGACCAGCGGGCGGCCGGCGCCGTTGGGAGCCGCGCCCGCGCCCGCGCCCGCCGCGCCCGGCGCCACCGCCACCGCCACGCCCTGCGCCACCAGCTCCTTGCTGCGCTTCACCTGCAGCTCGAGAAACGATCACGTTTCACTACTGACAAATGCACTGGACAATAAAAAACAATCACACTTTCGCCAGGAATCTCAATCTTTATAACATTTTGTCTTCGAGTTGTATTACATGCATATTAGAAGTACTAAAGCGTCGTGTCTTTCCAATATTATTTACTCTGTAGTCCTGAGGAATGTCTCCGTCATCCGTTTTTCGATGAAAGAAAGAAACATTTATTGCTATGGACATCACACAAAGACAAAAAAAGGTAAATATAAAAAAGACAAGAGCTAACACATAAAACATCCAATGGAAGAGAAAGTGAACTGAGCAATGCCACCCTATCGCACAGCTATGCATATCGCAATGGGACTCAGCATAATTATGCCGTGGCAGTGGCCAACGGTGAGGAAGGCCACGACGCTGGTTTCCAGTGTGCTCCATGCCGAGTTAGAGTCACGGACACTAACCTATACTGCATAAAATATACATACAGAAATAAATAATAGTGCGCGAATAAATTTTAAATGTACAGTAGTAAAAGATGTGATAAGATAACGGCCAGAAACCTAAACAGCTATCCTTACTTATATTACGGTCAGCCGCGGACACACGCGTTGACGAGCCCGTTATATACGAATAGAAGATGGCGATGTGACCGGTGCGGCCTTCAAAGCGCGACTGCCCTCAAGTAGTCAATAAAAATACAACTCGAAGGACGGAGCGCATAAGCAGCACAATATCGCTGCGTTTTGTCACTACATTGATACTTATGCAGAGACATCGATACCCGCGATTATTATGAAAATTAAACGAAAAGTTACGATGACGGAACATCCCGGGTTTCGGCACCAAAAAGGATGTAGCAAACGCACCACGATTAAAAGGCGATTGATGGCCTCCTGCTACACCTGGATCAAACCGTAGAAGGCTTGCCGGTAAAAAGGGATCGATGTTATGTACGAGCAGTACGCAATGACAAAATACTATGCACTCACGTACCTTGAGCAGATCATTGACAGTTCCACCTCGAGTATATTACAATGCGAAAGTTTGTGAGCATGGATGTATATTTGTTCCTCTTTCACGAGTTCACCACTAAAATGCAAAAGCAAGTAACATAATAAAGCCAACTAAAGTACGGCCGACGAGAAGCGATACCAAATGTAAACAAACCCAATGTCATGGTCAATTGGAATAGTAGGAATGGGTTGCACCACCTATCTTTAACGGTAACTATGACGTTTGACGTTTGTCAAAGTTAAAGTAAAATGGTGCAACCCAGCCTAAGGGTTAGACTTTGACGAAGAGACAGAATAGATTGTCAGTTCGACAGTCGAATCGACCTTTTGTATCGCTGCTAGTTGGCCGAACTTTATGTGCTCTTGTTCATGTCTGCTGACCACATAATAGGCTAGTTGCCTAAAAAAATTTTTTTAGTCCGTAATGTTTAATATCAAAAAATATTGGACACATATATTTTTATTTGTCAATCTAACAAATAATTACATAGTTATGGTGCGTTGAAGTTGCGCACGACGTCACAACGTGCGGCATTTTTAAGCAAGCGTTGACGTCACGGGCCTCTTCTTATGAACTTTGGGGCGCTTTATCTCTTTAAATTTTCATTAGTTTGAAAAAGTGAAAAATACGTGTAGAGTATTTTTNAACACTCACGATGAAAAATACAAAACAAAGCGAATGACAGATAACAGCTGTGACAATATTTTCAGTGTTGCCATGCTAATAATGTGGTGATGAATAAAAATAATCGATATAAAAATCGATAGTATTTTTTGATGACTCGAAATAAGGTGTATAATAAGGTGTGTGTGAAATAAGGTTTCATTTAGTTATTTAAATATTTTTGGTAGTGTTATTGGAATATTAAAAACCTTTATAAATGTCATTTTAATGAATACGTATTTAAAAAAATACTACTTGTTGTCATAGTCGAGAAACAATCGATATGAATCGATTCTTACCGATAAGATTCATTTTGGCAACACTGAATTGAGTGTTAAAGACAGGAAGTTGTAATTATCACTTAAAGTACTATTTAAAATGGATTTTTATAAAGGCAAATTGATACAAAGTTACACTAAGTGAATACTTTAAAAATTGATTAAAAATTTTTGGCAAATTCATATTTTCATTAGCAGCTTGTCCACGCCAGGCCAGAAATGAACATTGTCCTTTGGCGCGTATTAATATTACATGATATTGGCTAACTTACCTCAAAGTTTGATTCATCTGACCACACAATATTTTTCCAATCTTCCTCAGTAAAAGTTTGGTATTTTAAAGCCCACTCGTAACGAGCTTTTTTGTTCTTTTCTGAGAGCCATGGCTTCTTTCTGGCTTTACAGCCCTTAAGTCCAGCTTCGTGGAGTCTTCTGCGAGTTGTTCTTGCAGAAATTGGCTTATTAATTTCAGATGATAACTCAGCAGCGAGGTCGGAAGAAATTTTTTTCCGATTTTTCAAAGACTCTCTCAGTAAAATTCGGTCTTCTCGTGCCGTAGTGATACGTTTTCGCCCCGTTCTCGCCCTGTTATTGTGGGACCCGGTTGTAACAAAACGTTTAATAGCATACTGCACAGATCGACGCGAACACTTAAGGCGATTAGTGTCCTCAATCCGCGTGAAATGGTCATTTTGTAAAGCCTACTCCTCTTTTACTGCTGGACAGAAATAGTTGAAAAAAATATATGTTATACAACAGTTCAAGGACTACATTTGANTAATTACATAGTTATGGTGCGTTGAAGTTGCGCACGACGTCACAACGTGCGGCATTTTTAAGCAAGCGTTGACGTCACGGGCCTCTTCTTATGAACTTTGGGGCGCTTTATCTCTTTAAATTTTCATTAGTTTGAAAAAGTGAAAAATACGTGTAGAGTATTTTTTGATAAGTTAACTGACGGACTAATTAAAACTCTTGCTTTTTGACCCAGGCAACATCCCCATTGGGCACAAGCAGTTTTGCTAAAGCTCACCTGGTAGACGTCGAACACGACCTTGTCGCCGAGGCGCGGGCTCATCTTGGACTCGCACTTCTTGGCGGAGAACGGGATGGACTTCTTGGCTCCGTTGATCTGACACGTGATGAGTCCGTTGGATTCCTATTTCGAAACCATATATCACCTTAGTTTGTGCACAGTTTTAAACTTTTCACAACTTTCCTATAGAGGCGAAATTGCCACGTGCTCGCATTAGTTTTTACTTTCCGCTACCGCTTTGCAGCTGCGCAGTATTTATTTGAATGATACTTGCATGACGAAGTGGTGATAAAAGAATATCTAATATTTAGTGTTTTATATTCAATGTATATTTGAAGCAAAACAGCAGCAGGGGGCTTATGGCTGATTGAAGTATTTTAGTGTGAGAGTACATCAAACGTATTCGATATCGACTGCGTAAAAAATGACATTAAATGTCTGACGGATTGTACAGCGTCCCTAGCGGATACTTTCAAGATCTAAAATCTTCATACTTTTTTGACGCACTCGATATCGAATACCTACGTTTGATATAAACTGAAACTGAGGATAGCGTTGTGGGCTACATTACTATTATTGTCATGTATTTATCTTTATTATGTTGTTTTGTAATAGTTTGCTCATCCCTTATAAAATAAAGGACTCCCTTAACGGATCACTTTGTTGTCTGTCCGTCCGTCCGTCTGTCAAGATTATTCACAAAATTAAATGATAGTAGCTCGCTTGTCAAGTCATTTATTTATTGTTTTTGACCTGAATAATCCTACAGGTTGTCATCTATTTTGATCCCCTTAAATTCACACAGGTATGACTAAATTCAAATGTTGCACTACAAAATGCCTCTACACCAGGGTTTTTTTATGATTCTGGTCGGGCTATACTATTTCTACCGATTCTATCTATGTGGTTAATTCCAAAATTCCGTTTTGTTACCGTTCGTTTCTCTACCTTATCGTAGCACATGCACTGTTTCACAACACGTGCAGCATGGCAATATAAAAAAATGTGAGTGTGTGATGATGACCCGCCAGCGATGGTGTCGGCACGCACCTGGGGCTCGTGCGAGTGCGTGGGGCTGGCGGGCGGCGGCTCGCGCGTCACCACGCCGCGCACGCCGCGCTCCAGCAGCGCCTCGAAGCTCACGGAGCCCGCCGGCAGGTGCTTGATGCGGATGGCCGACTGCCGCGAGCTCATGTTCGAGAACGAGCTCACCGGGTCCACGGTGAACTCCACCTGCACACAGCGCATCGACCGACATCAACGCTCCACGCTTGTCTGCAAGTCTGCACCGTCACCGTGCTCGTGCGCTATCTCAAATACCTACAATCCAAAATCTCACAATTTGAGGAGACAATTTATTACCCGACAATGCAGATTAAAGACCGCTAATTCCGATTCTCATCGACCGTTGGACTATTTGGGATTGGGATTTTTGAATCTATGAATTAAATGGCAATTCCTAACAGTTTATTCACCTACGCGTTTTTTAACGTCGCCCCCTGACATTTTTCTACGCCCCAAAAAAAAGTTTATTTAAAATTGTATTCATTAAAACATTTTCTCTTTATTTTATTATGCTAGCAGTACACCTTATTGTGTCACGCATACAGTTACGCGTGTACAAATATGAGATTTACCACATGTAAAATTTTTATTATGTCAATCGTTGAATAGACGTATTGACACCACCAATCAATCAATTGACGTACTTTTTAAAAATGTCAAAACCTGACTCTCCCATAGATATTGTATGGCAATACCTGGCAATACAAGCTAGGAATGAAGTGTCTTTTTAAAAAAGTTGTGATTCCGAATGGTGTCAAATTAGTCTATTGGATGCATATCTATTAGACTAAGAGCTAGTGAACGCCAGACCTACGTCATTTTATAAAAGCTGAAAGTTTGTTAGCCTATGCTCCCAATATAGGATACAATGTTGGTGAATTATGAAGTTTGGGTCATGGTGGCTACCCTATTGGGAGCTACCCTAAAAAATCTGTCTGGCAAGGAGTTGGAACTGTCAAAACTGTCTGGCTGTTGGGGAAAATACTTCTAATTATTACCCAAATATCATACATAAAAATCAGATTTTATGGTATAACGTTAGTAGAATTACAGTCTATTGAATATACAGTAAAAGCCACCGTAAAAGTTAGACTAACGGACGAAATCGGCTCGCATGAGCGTGTCGCACGGATAGTGCCAATCTTAATCAATCGCGCAGGTCGCGCTCCTACTTGACCTGACTGCGATGTCAAGGATAACGAAATAATAATGCACTACTGTTTCAACAGCCAGCTGACAGCTAGTTCCAGAGTCACAAGGAGTGGCTTGCCACGTGGCGAGCGTGTGTGGTGTGTGTGTGGTGCGTGTGTGGTGCGTGTGTGCGTACCTCGTCGCCCACGGAGAGCTCGTGGCCGAGGCGCAGCACCTCCGCGAAGTGGAAGAACATGGTCTGGTCGCGCTCCACGCAGCGGATGAAGCCGAAGCCCTCGCGCAGCGAGCACACCACGCCCTGCTCGCGCCTGCACACAACCCGCCGTCAAACAACACAATGCTTCTCAAAACTGATACAATAAGAAATGCATCAACTCGTTACTTGGCTGGCCGTCCAAAGGCTGGCTGCTTGAAGCGCATCTCATTACACCCCTACCGAAAACAGTTGATATTCAGTCAAGTATTTCATTCAAAAACTGATGTCCAAGCTGTGGTCATTTATCAAAAATGCAAGTTGTTCACAAAAATGGAAAATCATTCCTGGATGAAGTGAAAATGTAATAAATAATATTTGTATAATACGCCCGAAAAGGTAGAATTTGAAGCGTTTCTGTTGTTAAGCCGTGTATCTGCTATTTTTAGCTAAATTCACATTCACAGTATTTTCATATTATTTCATTTTAAAAAAATACATTCTTTGTTAAAACAGTATCGAACACCCTGTCTGTGATATATTGTAGAAACAAAGTATGCCCAAATGAGTCAGAATAGTAATTATTATGTCAAATTGACAACGCTTCAAAGCGTTCAGATATGGCCAGTAGGCCAAGGAAGCGCGCTGTGAAAAGATTTTATCGCATCATTTTATAGATGTAACGCGATAAGCCGCATTCTAAAAAAATCGTTTCATTTGTCTAAATGTAACACATCGATAAGATTGTATCACGGCGCGCATCCCGCAACAGACGCGCACGCAGCACGCAGCACGCAGCACGCAGCACGCACCGCTCGCCGGAGACGTTGAAGGACTCGTCGAGCAGCGAGATGTTGGTGGCGCGCTTGAGCTGGTCGCGCCGGTCCGTGGCCACCTGGAACTGCACCCAGTCGCCGTGCCGCAGCGTGAACTCGCCGCACTGGTCCTTGTCGCCGAACGGCACCTGCGCCCGCCCGCACACTCTTACTCTCATCGATCGACAATACGGATTCAACACACGCGGTAATATACTAAAATCTCAGTCAATCGCCCGTAATTATTAAATGTGCGATTTATTTTGATATTGGTGTTCAGCAAAAACGTGAATGTTTCTTAAATTGTTTAGCGACGTTAAGCTCATCCTAGTCACTGACACGGCGTCGAGTGTCACCATTTAGCTGTAATTATATGACCTTTACGACTAATATAATTTTGCTTGATCGTTTGTACTTTACAGCAAATTGATCTCAATATTACTAACTATCAATTTTTAATTTGTTGACATTGTACAGGTGCTTCTGCATACCTATTACAAGTACCTACAAAATATTTCATGTATAGCCTGACCAGGAACATAAAAACCCTGGCATAGAGGCGCGTCAATTGCATTTGATAGTGCAACACTGAGTACAGTCGTACCTGTGTTAAATTAATAGGCTAACTTTATGTATCAGGATTCAGGATTACGGGCTAATTTGATATTTTCATAAATTAACGAAAAAATATTATTATAGGTAACCTGGTTTAAATAAATTAAATGAAACCATCAATCGAGCTAGTAGGATTTATTTTATTATTCATCAATAATCAAATTCAGAACTTGAATATTCAACTGCAATGTCTGCTCATGAACGCTTCAAACTCGGTACTTCTTTCCCAATTCCATAAAATTCAACACTTAGAAAGTGACAAAAAACTTTAAAATAGGTAGTTGAAACAAACCACAGCTAATTTTCATAGTGGACTGTACTATACGATAAACATGTCAGTCAATTTGACAACCTTTATTGGAAACATTTTCAATGAAAATATTGTCCGAACCCTTAGTATTTCTCTTCGACAAATACTTTAACACATTGTGAACCACTTTTCTTTCACGACTATAAAAAGATTTTAGCAATTTCATTCACAAAATCAATTGCGCACATTTAAAATAAAGTTTGTTTACACTTTGACAACAATAGACTGACATGCAAGGTGACATGTCAATGAAGTTTTTAGTTACTGTTGCCATTAAAAGAAATTAGTACCATTAGTTTTCCGCAATATGGCGAGGGTTTTTATGTTCCTGGTCAGGCTATATAATATTGTCTAAAATGATGTAATATCTTGTTGGTTTTAATAAATAAATAAAGAGGGTTCAATTAAATCCTTGCCATAAAAGACAATGCCGGAAATTGGCGTCTTTTTTTTTTCGCGCGGCCATCGACCAAACCTTGGTTTTTTATTACAAAATAGTGTAATAAACCAAACTTACTATGACATGTATTGTATACCTCTAAACTCAGTCTGAAATGAGTTACGAGCATCAGAAGTTTGATGATTTTCATACTAGATTTGCTGTTTGCGCGCAAGTTTTGTAAGAAATTGCAACAAAATAATGACATTGTATGTGTAAACAAACAATACCATCCATTAAAGGATCCAGACATCAGTGTGCAGCAGAATCAGCGCAATAAAAAAATAGCGCAATATTTTGTTACAATTTCTTACANCATAAAGTTAATATTCCTTCGGAATAGAGCAACAATCACGAGCTGTCAAACGAAACCAAAAATGAGATGTCATTTGTGTGTGTAAATATAAATATGTGTGCATGCTAGTGATGTATGTCGTTACTTTTCACATGAATATCGATATCGATTTATATTAATTAACACCTAACAGTAGTAATATTAATGGAACTAAAATAGGATAGAATGTCCATATACAATCCGTATATGGGAGAGTGGAAAATAAAAATAAAACTCAGAAGATTAAAATGATTTAACTGATTTAATTGAAAGAGCAACAAACATCAAGACATCCATACAAACTTTCTGATTTCTAATTAGTAAGAGTAAGTCAATAATTAAAAATGATAATTCTGACGATAATGTAAAAAATAGGATTCTAACGAATGCGATGTAATAATAAAAGACAATGCCGGAAATTGGCGTCTTTTTTTTTTCGCGCGGCCATCGACCAAACCTTGGTTTTTGATTACAAAATAGTGTAATAAACCAAACTTACTATGACATGTATACCTCTAAACTCAGTCTGAAATGAGTTACGAGCATCAGAAGTTTGATGATTTTCATACTAGATTTGCTGTTTGCGCGCAAGTTTTGTAAGAAATTGCAACAAAATAATGACATTGTATGTGTAAACAAACAATACCATCCATTAAAGGATCCAGACATCAGTGTGCAGCAGAATCAGCGCAATAAAAAAATAGCGCAATATTTTGTTACAATTTCTTACAAAACTTGCGGGCAAAAAGCAAATCTAGTATGAAAATCATTAAACTTCTAATGCTCGTAACTCAGTTCAGACTGAGTTTAGAGGTATACATGCCGTAGTAAGTTTGGTTTATTCCACTATTTTGTAATCAAAAAACAAAGTTTGGTCGATGGCCGCGCGAAAAAAAAAAGACGCCACCTTCCATACAAAATCTGGCATTGCCATTTTCAGCAATAGCATTAACAGTTAGCGGGCAGCGGGCAGCGGGCAGCGGTTACAGTACCTCGACCTCCGAGTGGTCGGCGGCGCGGTAGCGGATGCGGCCGGGCAGCGGGTCGTTCTGCGGCGCGCGCGCGGCGCCGCGCTCCAGCGGCTTCAGCACCTGGCCGCGCATGACCTCGGGGCTGACGTCCTCGAACACCACCGAGCCGCCGGGCAGCTTGGTGATGTTGCACGCCACCTCCTTGCCCTGCACACACACACACGCGCGCGGTCACGAGCTGCACGCGCGAGCCACACACGAGCTGCGCGTGCGCTGCGAACCGTTCTTACGTTTCTAGTCTGGATGATGAACTCGACGTCATCTCCGAGAGTTAAATCTTCCTTAGTTTTAGTTTCAGAATAATGAAAGAATATTTCTTTCACCACGTCCGCTCTTTCAATGAATCCAAAATTTTCTTTCATAGAACAGACAACGCCATGATACTTGACTGGATGAACGGGATTTTCAAACCTTACGTGGCAGGCGCCCAGAGTTCCCCTAAAACAAATAAAACATTCTCATAATTTAATAGCTTTATATTTCACATACTAATTTAATAAAAATACGTGTATTTATTATTTCCGTTATTGTTTATATTATGTGGCCCCGCATAGGTAAATTATGAGGCTTTTACTCAAAATCTGACAGTTCTTATTAAAATATTGTATTAGGCTAGGCTCCTCCCGTCATTTCTGAAATATTGAGGACCTGAGCTGAGGGGAAATGCGCACATACCCACCAAGCACTTGCTGTAACCTTTTAAGAAAGAAAACCAGCCAAGTGCGAGTCGGACTCGCGCACCGAGGGTTCCGTACAAAACTTTGATTTTATTACATTTTAAAGGTACCTACTATAAACCTGAGTATTTGATAAGAATTTCAATTTAATACCTCTACGCGTTCATGAGGAAAGGAGTTGTAACTTTAAAATTTATTTAAAAAAAATCTACTAACTATAGTTCATTCAACTTATGATGGTGATTTAGACAGATAAAACGTTTTGTTTTATGATTATAACTTTCTACGAATAAAAATATTGAGTTGTAAAAATCAATTACTTTTGTGTGTTTTCATCCTTCCAAAATATCAATCACTAATCTTTCTCAATTAACCTAAACAAGAATTTCTAATTATTTATTAGTTTATTATTTAGTAAAAATTGAGAAAAAATATTAAAGCAATTGCTTCTGCGTTAGTCGGAACTTTTGCTCATAGGGATGAGACATAAACAATCGCAATAAATCAGTAATCGGCATGGTGGTCATCTTACCATCGAATCACGATTATTATCTCAGGCAGAGCCCCGATTACGGTAACTTTTATAACGTCTACAATCCAGACGCGTTTCTGATTCTGCGATACGATTGGTCAAAACAGCTGACGTACGCTGTTGAACGACCAATCGTATCGCAGAATCGAGAAGCGTGTCTGGATTGTTGACGTTAAAAATTAGCGTAATCGGGGCTCAGGTCAAAGCTAAGTCAGTACGTGTGCGTTTGCCTTTGATGACGGTTTTGTTTTAAGCGATTTCTCCACGTATTGTTTGTTATTGTTATTTTGATGTTTTATTGAATAAAATGCATATATTTAATTCTTTGTGATTTATTTTGTACCACTAAGAATATTCACGTTTATTCCATTTCCAGATAGTTCAAATTCATAGATATAATTTTGATCAAGATTAAAAACCAAAGAAATAAAAGGCGATTAGATTTCTATAGAAAATATTCTCGATTCTAAAAAAATATCGATTAGGTTTATAAGGAGCGCCTCACTAAATAGAACTGTCATAATCACCATCTTACGCTGAATGGACTATAGATCTCGATCAAAACAATTTTCGTTGGAAGTTTGCATAGTAATGTATAGCCCGACCAGGAACATAAAAACCCTCGCCATGTTGCGGAAAACTAATGGTACTAATTTCTTTTAATGGCAACAGTATAGTTCCAAAATACTGAACTGTCCTATGCATGACATTGACAGTGGGGCGCCACCGTCAATACTGGATCGCTAGTTCCGATTTTTGCCATGCAGGAAACCATATAGTTGAACGATGGTAACGCCCCCCCGTCATTGAGTTTGGCGGGACAGTTCAGCGTGGGTCATCTAACTGAAAACTTCATTGATATGTCACCTTGCATGTCAGTCTATTGCTGTCAAAGTGTAAACAAAGTTTATTTTAAATGTGCGCAATTGGTTTTATGAATTAAATTGCTAAAATCTTTTTATAGTCGTGAAAGAAAAGTGGTTCACAATGTGTTAAAGTATTTGACGAAGAGAAATACTAAAGGTTCGGACAATATTTTCTTTGAATAATGTTTCCGACAAAGGTTGTCAAATTGACTGACATGTTTATCGTATAGTACAGTCCACTATGAAAATTTGCAGTGGTTTGTTTCAACTACCTATTTTTTAAAAATTTGTCACTTTCTAAGTGTTGAATTTTATGGAATTGGGAAAGAAGTACCGAGTTTGAAGCATTCATGAGCAGATATTGCAGTTGAATATTCAAGTTCTGAATTTGATTATTGATGAATAATAAAATAAATTCTACTAGCTCGATTGATGGTTTCATTTAATTTATTTAAATCAGGTTACCTACCTATAATAATATTTTTTCGTTAATTTATGAAAATATCAAATTAGCCCGTAATCCTGAATCCTGATACATAAAGTTAGCCTATTAATTTAACACAGGTACGACTGTACTCAGTGTTGCACTATCAAATGCAATTGATGCGCCACTATGCCAGGGTTTTTATGTTCCTGGTCAGGCTATANCTATCAAATGCAATTGACGCGCCTCTATGCCAGGGATTTTATGTTCCTGGTCAGGCTATATGTCATATATTTTTTTTAATTTTGTCATTTTCCTATTTTAGAAGTTACAGGGGGGGGGAGGACGACACATTTTACGACTTTGGAAGCGCCTCTCGTGCAAACTATTCAGTTTAGAAAAAAATTATATTAGAAACCTCAATATCATTTTTAAAGACCTATACATAGATACCCCACAAGTATGGGTTTGATGAAAAAAAAAAATAGAGTTTCAGTTGTATGTGGAACCCCCATAAAAAATATTTGATTATTGTTATTGTTTCATTAAACTGGCCATCCTGCCCGGCTACAGGAGTGGAACCCGGGAAGAGAGCAGGGCAGAGCTACGCATGTGCCGAACCTGCTTGCTCATTCACACATTTATATTGACATGCTTGACTCGAATACCAAACAACAGCCGCAAGAAAAAGCAAATGGGTGACTGTATGAGAGCTGTATCAGTAATTCAATACATAACAGTAGCAAAAGCCCTGCCCTGCCTCCTTCCTTCTGGAGTTGGGTCGTTTACTCCATCTCTCGATGTAGTATTTTCTGCACTTACCTTTGGTTAGTAGCTATCTGGAAGCTCACAGCATCACCAGTGCGTAATGTCACATTACCCTCAACATCATCTTTTGTGTACGGTAAGAAAAAACATTCACCGCGGTTCTCATATGAAATTCTCCCTGTATTATCTCCAGATCCTTCACCTTTCACCTCAGTCGTGACCGTACCGGTGACGCGAGCTTCGCTCAGCACCTTATTTAAACATAAATATTTTAATAGATAATTGTTTGAGAAAATAACACAAAATTATGTTATTATTTTTATTACTATCTTAATACATTATTTCTTATCTTCTACATGGGAATTTGTTAGCCTGTTCACGTTCTAGAGTCACACTGTGCTTAGCTGGAGAGATTTACGGGTAAATAAAAAAAAACATTATAATATCTATACTTTCTTTGACTTAGGCGATTATCACACTGCCGCGTGATTTCATATAAAAAATATTTAAAATGTATGTCTTTCATATGGCACTGTTTCGCTTTTTTCAAATGCTTTTTTACTGATTTGTGTTTAGTGTCAGTAAAATAAATAGCTCTTTAAATAGGGCAAGAATGCAAACATCGTGTATAGTGTGATATTAAGCCTAGGCGCAGACCACCGACCTTTTGTCGGTCGATAGTTGGGCCCGATTCTAATTTGTATGAAATCGAAATTTTGCGCACTTCCATACATGCCTATACTGATTAACTGTCCAACTAAACTATAAAAGTCGGTGGTCTGCGCCTAAAGCTTTTGAAAAAAAGGAGGTAAGCCAAAATATACATTTGTATATTTTGGCTTACCTCTATGCAATCTAAGATTAATCATACCACTTCAGGAGCAATCTTAGTGACTGTGGATGCGATGGGTTTCCCAGTGCGCCGGTCATATGTCATTTCAAATTCCACAGGGTCTCCGATTTTAAGATGTTCAATATTTCCACTGAATTGACTAAAGTGAAAAAACAAGCGCGCTTGCCTCTCACAGCACTGTATGAATCCATATGAATGCTAGAAAAAAGCAATAATCTTGATTACATTTCAGATACACACACACAGTTATTTTTAAAATTTTACTGGTGTCCCAAAAAAAGTACATCACGCTGATACGATAGCGGAGGTTAAATTCACTGAAAAAGTCTAACATATCCATAGAAAAGTTTCATGAGTTTTGAGATAACCAATTTAAGTGGTTAAATAAATAAATAAAAAAAATTAAAAAGTTTTTATTTCGAACAATGAGTTGTTCATAGTGTGGTTAGTAAACACACCTTAAAAGCTAATGTTAGTAATCATTATCAAGTGATTATTATTTTCCAATGTACATAATATCAATATTATAATTAAATCAAATCAAATTAAAAAAATTAATAAATAAATTAAAAATCAAACTAAATTAAATCAATTAAAATGTGATTAAATTAAAAATCAAATTAAATTCAATCAATTAAAACCAAATAAATAAAAGTAAATAAATAAAAGTTAAAGAGCTCTTTAAAAAAAACTGTGATACAAAACAATGTTATACAGACATTATCAAAAATCTGTTATTTTTACAATAACTAAAATTGGTCATATTTTAAAACTCGTGACACTTGCTATAAAACATGTTAGGCTTGTTGTTCGGTGCAGCATCTGAGACTCAGCTATCTGACCTCCAGCGGCAGTGTGACGTACTAATTTACGTGGACAAAAATTATGTAATCATACCATAACTAGGATACCTAAATTTTTAATTAATTTAAATATCATTAGCATAGTAGATAAAACAATAGCAACTTAAAAGGGTATCTCTTTCATTACAATGCACATTTTATCGCACCAAAAGCTCATTGAAATCAAAGTGGTTTAGAAGTTATAGACTGACTAAATATGTATGAAAAATCATGAGTTACTTGTGATTTTTACCAATTTTTACAATCTATGTTGCAGCCAAAACTCATTAGTCAAAACCACTTTTAAATGCAAAAAATCAGTCAAAAGTGGTTTCGCTTTTAAAATTTTACATTCACTACAAATTCATACAAAGTAATTATTAGTAAAAATTACCAGGAAATCATCAAAAATATGTTATAAAACAATGTTAAAACCTAACTTTAATGTGATTTGTGCATACAAAATGATGACACCTGCCCTAGTTAATAATCTACCTATCTTTAATCTGACAAGTATCTAGATTTCTTAAAAATAATGAGAAAAAAATAAAATGCAACATTATTGTAGTACCTACATAAAGTAGATGTGATCAATTTGTAGACACAAATCACTTAAATGTTACACATTAAAATTGATCATATCATATTACTGTGCCTAAACGGTTGGGACACCAGTGACAAGACATACTGCATAGACAGATGTAGATATTTAAGTACATACTTATACACTCACCAATAGTTTTTCAATGATTCCGGTCTCTCTTATAGGGGGGTGGTTCATGGAGTCATATTGAGATGAGGAGTTGTTGGTAGAGCCAGAAGATGAGTATACTCCGACGGAGTCACCCATGGGGCACCCATCCAGGTTGTAGTTGCCGAGAGGGAATCGGTTGCCACCACCCGTCTTACTCATGTTGCTAAAGTTGTCCCTGGGTGAGCTGGGGTACTCACTGCTGAAGGTGCCTGCAACACAAGGACCGAGTGAGCGCCGAGCGGAGGCGACTGCGTGGCGGACAGCACTGGCGGCAGCAGCACTTACCATTGCGGTAGGCCTGTTTTGCCTGCATGTTTGAGTGCTGGAGGTCTAGTATATCCTGCAGGGGAGACGGGTGGGAATCTGGCGGTTGGAACATTTTCCACTGAGGATTACTGGACATTGCTTTTTGACTGTATTCCTTGTATATAGGTCGAAAATCTCAGTTTTATTAATGAATATAAGTATCACAGAAAATCGCGTGGTGTTCAAGTTCCTAAACAGCAGCAGTATTTTTAAATCAAATCACATTTTTTAGTCTTTGTGTTCAAGAGAACACCACTGAGATAGATTGCAGTCACAATTTAAACACCAAAACCACTAATGTTGAAACATAAAATAAAACTACGACTATGATAAAATATATCCTCAGATGTCTTCAATGCTTGCTGAATCGGAGCTCTGCGGTGCATTAGATCGGTTCGGGAGGGTGTATCGTGTGCGGTTACTGTCTGATACGTCCTGACCCGACTCTCACAAGCTGCAACGGACACCGTGATTATTATCGACATACGAAAACACGGGTAAAAATTAAAGCATTAAAGGTATAATAACGACCGATTGCAACATAGCGTTGCCTCGAAATATGCTTCTACATTTTAATATTGCTATGTAGTAGGTAGATATCGGCCGCCCTGACCGACCGATGTGCAAAAATTATAACGCTCTAAAAGACTCGTTTGACTATTTCCATTAAGGCAAACAGCGTATCAAATACATTATTAAGCACTGGATACCATTTTTTAACGAACTTAACCATATATTTTTACAAAACTAATAGTTACAAAACCATGAAATTTAACAAATCTCACCACGACACAGCATAGCACTGACGACATACCGCCATATTGAATGTCAACATTATCACTTTGATTCGGCCATACACAATTGTATTATTATTTTGTGAAAAGTTTATGAAAATATTGAATTTATTCTGGCCTACACTTACGGTAACAATATGAATTTTTAAATTTTGTGCTTATTTTTTTGTCGAAATGCGAGAGACTATCGTAAAGATTTGATTTTTCTCTTATTTTGTGGCTATAGAAAAGTGGCCATTTATTTTGTGGGTATTAAAAAATTAAGTAGTAGTTTTTAAATATTTAAGTCATCAAAATTTAAAGTACCTTGATTAATTTGCTCAAATTCTAAAAAGTAAAATTTTTATTACAGCCTAATGAAACATTGTGGGTGTTTAAAAATGCCGCCTATTTTCCTAATACTAAACCATCATGCATGCATAATTTTTTAAGCAAATTACATAAATGAGATCCAAATCAAATTTAACCCAACTTGGAACTTATTTTATAATCAAATTTGAATTATGTGTTATAGCAATCTCTACAGTTTCCTAACATGATGAATCAGTGTGAAAACTACCAAAATAAATATTTTTTTGGAGTGACAACACATTGGGTCAAAGATTGTATTGTAGCCATGGAGCTATCTAAAAAGAGTAGAAATTAAACCAAACGAGGGCACCACTGATGCGTCGTTTACATAGCAACCCTTAAATTATAGGGTAAACCAGAGAGTGATTGCCCACTGGTAGTGATTGCCCGCTTTTAGAATAATATTGTCAGGTGCTGACTTTGAATCACTCTAGTTAGATTTGAATTTACTAAGTAGATAGCTCCGAGATCAATGTACAGTATATTTAAAATTTACAATAGGAAACACTAAAAAACAACAGTTATGGCGGATTTTGTCAAGACGGGTGATAAAGTTACTCAAACAGGTAAAGACTTTAACAATTTTACTAAGGAATTACTTGCTTAGAGGTTAATTTTTTTTTGCAAATTATTTAGTATTCAACTAATGGTGTATAGTCATGATGAAATTATAAGTTTTTTCTCCATTATCAATGAAAATAACTGATAAAATTTGATTTCTAACGGTCATTTTAACGGTGGGTAATCACTGCACGTAAATCTGTATATTTTTAGTTATTGCCCACCATCATTTCAGTTATTGCCATATGTTAATGTATAGTTATTGCCCAGGGAAATTATTATTAGAGTGTTGCCACCATGCAGTAGCAGTGTTTAAGTTGCTCATTGTTAGACTTGTTTTGCAATTTACAGGCATAAATATTGAAATGGCTTTTAATGTTTCATTTTCAGTATGCCAAAGACTCCAAAAGTTCAATATAGCATAGAAAATTTGCAAAAAGCGATCGAAGCTGTACAAGATGTATCCAACAATTTATCTACAAGATAAATTGCTGAAAATATGGTTTGGCTTGAAAAAATTGATAAAAATTCTAACGCAAATACATAAAATGAAAATCCTACGTTAAATCTACTAGTGAAAATGTTAATTGTAAGGAAATAGATACAACTTTAGGGAAGAATAACCAACAGCTAATTGAACATTCTGAGCAACCACTTGAACTGATATCAAAGAAGATAAAAAAATAAATACATATAAAATTCAAATTTTTGCGTCATCTATGTTTTGAAGTAGATGATTCTGTCTCTACCGATTCTAACTCATCAACATCAGCTCAAGAAATATTTGATAATATAGTTAACTAAGGCCAAACGCAATTTATTTTGAAATTTTGAAGACTGTACTACTAGAATTTAAGTTAAATGTTTTGTTTTGTTTATTTAAAGCCTATTTTGTCATTTTAAAATTGATTATTTTGTTTTAAGATACTGGGCAATTACTGTGCTTTGATGTGGGCAATTAGTGTAAGTAATGGGCAATGACTGTACTTTTTGGAGGATTTTAAATTTATTTCAATATTTTCTATGTTACGTAAGTTTTAACTAAAAACTGTTAATATTCTGTTTAACAGTTTATTGAGTTATAAGAAAAAAGTCATAAATGGTCGATAATTAAAATACTTTTTTAAATTTTTCATCTCAATGTGTTTGAAATATTTAAGTGGGCAATAGCTATACGGTTTACCCTATCTTGCTTTATTTTTTTAGTATAAAATTATTATACAGGATGTTTGGTGGAAGGTTAGATAAACTTTGTGGGTGTATACGTATAGTATTAAGTAAAGTCATTTTAAAAATACAGATTCGCCTATTTGACCCTAATCAGAGTAAATACAAATGAATAGGTCATCTGTGGTCATCTTCATAGAAACACACCGAGCGCGGTTTGTATGTGAGCGCGCGCATTCGGGGCAACTCACCACCGCTAATCAATGCAAAATTTTGTCAGTGTGTGCGTCCACGCCGCATACGTTTTGGCGCGCTCTATGAAGATGACCTACTCATTTGTATTTACTCTGCCCTAATTGAGCTACTTTTTTTTTAAATTTATATTTTCTATATTCAAAATCCATACAAAGTAGGTATATTATGTTTTTTTTTAGTTCTTTTTATTATTTTCTAAAGTGTTTGCAAGGGATCTGTCTGTTGTTCAAAGCCAACTGACCAAGCTGAAGACCGAGGATGGCAGAGACATCAGCAGAGAGTCGGAGCCTGCGTTATTGGAAGAGGTTGAGAAGTTCTACGGACAACTATACACGAGTGTACGTACACCTGTCACAAATCTAGCCGAAGACCCAAGAGTTAGATTGACCCGACACTATACCGAAGACCCGACACTATATCCATTCGTTTATTACGTAAGACTATTTTTGCTAGTTTTTGACCCTATCTCCCCCAACTATAAGAAAAAATAAGAATTGGCCGACTATGTTTAATATTTATTACGTAAGAATCTAAAGGAAAATATTAATTGGTTTGACGACTAGTGCACAAGCAGGGAATTTCCGGGAGGCACAGTGCGGGTAGCGCAGGTCCTTTGCCATGGAAATGGAAATCGTTTACTTTGGCAATCGCGCGGTTGCCCACGCTTTTTCATTCAAAGTATAATTTCACTTTGCGCATTTTTGTAATCTTACGTAAGAACTATCGAGACTTCCTCGCTCCTACATTCCTTGTAAGAAAAAATAAGACAATAATTATGGTCGACCCCCCTTCTCTCCTAAATCGTCTTACGTAATAAATGAATGGCCCCTTTTATTATAATTATGACTGTTATTTTATTTTAGTAGTATACAAGGTGTTAGGTAAATGGGTTTATAAACCGACTCTAGCCCATGTTAACATCATGGATNACGCTTTCAATTTGCTCCTACACATCTCGATGGGAAGTCGAGCAAGCCACCCCCATAAGCCAATGTTTTAGCGAACCAGCACTGCACAAATCGCTCCCCAGGCCGTCTATAGACCCGACCTCTTCGACTGCTGCACTGCAAAAACAGTCTGCATTCATCGGAAAACAAAACTCGCCTCCATTACTCGCCTTCCGAGTGCGAGCTAATTGAAAGCGTGCTTGTCGGTGACCTGCCGTCTGTTTCCAGCCTGTGGCAGGCCTTTTTGGAGTCAAATTTTATTGCTCATATCTTAGACAAACTGTCCACTCGCTAACAGCTATCCTACGAACATTTCTGAGCTCTTGCTGGACGTCGATGCCAGTCAAATGACGATTTCATAGAGAGGTTGACATGAAAAAACGGTCATCCCTCTGCGATGTGAACCGGCGCTGTTCAGTACTTGGTCTCGGGATAAAGCCACCAGTCTCCCAAAAGCGTCTTAAAACTTTCGAAACCCAGGACTGGCTTATGTGGAGCTGACGTGCGACAGCCCGCTGGCTGAGCCCTTCTTGCAACAGTGCAACGATTTGTGCTGCTTCTATAGGTGTAGAATCCCAGGTAAAGTGTCAAAAGAAGCCGATACGTGTATGGATCAACGTGTGAACCCAAAAATCCGAAAACACGTGCTTTTATAGGGCGTAAATAGGCCGCAACTCGCGACGTATCAAACAGTTGGTACATGTCTTTTTTCTTACTTCTTCACATCAGCCGGGATATCTTTTTAAATATCGGTGTGATTTAAATGAATTTGGTATCAATTTAAAGTTAAAAGTTTAATCTTTAAAATGGTGCCACTTTCATTGTTATTAACAAATTCGTTAGTACACAAGATCGCGTGGAAACAACTTCATGTAAGTGATTCCATACTTTTGCTCGCGAGTGTAAATGGTATGGTGAAGTCAGGATATCATCATTTAATTTTTTTAAATTTTCATACAAAACAAAGTTTATAAAATCAGATTGTATGAATTAATATTAAATTAACATTAAAATAATTAAAATGACGATATCAATTTTCTGACTTCACCATACCATTTATTGTTAACATAGGCTAGTGTCAGCTTATCATTTACCTAACACCCTGTATAGATAGGATAGCATTAAAACAGCAAGTTATGAGTTTCCTTATCTTTATTAACCATTTCAGCGCCACGGTCTTTTAAAGAAGACAATAATCTAATCACAACATTTTCTTCACTAAAAGTAGGAAGGTAGGGTAAGGTGGGGCACAATGTTACAATGCACATTTCTCCGTCCCTTTCTATTAATTGTTTGATGTTGGTATACACGTAACTATGTCAAGCTCATAAGCCGCCATCTTTGAACCGTTGTTCCTGCCACAGTTTGTACCGCGCTTGAAAATTAACAAACAAAAATTGTTTTTGTGTTATTAAACGTCGAAAAAACCGTTTCAAAGTTTTTAATTTTTTGCCGGACGTGTTGTATTCAGGTCAATGTTGATATTTTTATTAATTTTTATGTTTATTTAGCTACATATTACCGTTGAATTGTTTGTTGTAAAATAACTTAAAATATTAATTCGAATTTTTCAATTTGGTTTGCCTCTCTGGGGCACTGTGTTACGGGGCACTGTGTGACACTGTAAAAGTCAGCCCCAATTACAAAATGTTTTTGTACCATTTCAAGGTATTAAAAGAAAATGGTGCGGAATCGTAAGAGAAAGACAGATTATGGTCTTTACAGTGAAAAAGATATGGCAGAAGCGATTTTGATGGTTGAAAGCATTATTTTTGAAAATTACTGCCAGATATTGAGGATACGACGACGACGTTAGCTACTTACGTCGAAATGGCAAAATTGACAATCGTCTCTATTTTCCACTTGAACCGAACCTACTATTTTGTTGTAACATTGCGCCCCTTACCCTGTAACAGTCTACCCCAGATACGGGGCTCAGTGTTACAATCGACTGATTTATTTAAAGTACAATTTAAATTTAGTAGTTCCTAATAATGTTAATGTTTAAGCTATTTCAATTAGAGGGATTGTTAAAGTTTATTTTTATACCAAAAACTAGCGGCCGCCCGCGACTTCGTACGCGTGGATCCTGTTTTACCCCCTTTTCCCGAATTTTCTTTGCTATAAACCTCACGGAGCCCGAGACCTTTCCAACGAATGCAAAACCGTGGAAATCGGTTCGTGCGTTCTGGAGTTATAGCGTCAGGGAGGAAAACCCGACTTATTTTTATATACCTAGTAGACTAGCTGATTGAAACAATATTTTTGTCATTCTAGTCCCATACATTTTTTTTTGTAACACTGTGCCCCATCTTACCCTACATTTAACAAATCATCAACCACATTCGTGTCATCCAATATTTTCGGAACTTTGCTTCGCTATTCTTCGCACTGTTCGGTCTACGTACCTACATTGCACAAACGCGTCCGTCAGCATTTTCGCGCATTGGCCTACTTTTTCATTTTAACCATAATTTTAGTTTTATATTCAGTACACGTCGAATCACCATACCAATCGCGAGTGCTCATTACTATTCGACCATTTTAGCGTAATATTAATTATTCGCAATATATGTAGTTATATTTTCTACCAGTGACTTTCATTCATCTATCTACCATCTTCTTTAAATGAGCGGACAGTAACCGAACACACTGTAATTTCAGACACACTTATAACAACAAAATAAAATTAACTGGAGTAAAATACTTAATCCCACTTTCTGTTTACAACTTAAACAAGTGGGTTTGAGTTATAATAAATTTCGTTTGTCACAAATCGTCATAAATTATAGCCTTTATGTTAATTTGGGTTATAAACAGTAATACTGTAAAGTTTCATCAAAATCTGTAGTTTTTGCGTGAAAGAGTAACAACTTCCAGACATTTTCAAACTTTCGCATTAAAATATTAGTAGGATTTACTACACTTCAATGAGAATGTCATGTCACAATAATTTATAACGATTATGATCTTTAGTCGCACTAAATCACCACTATTTACATTTAACCAAATTTTTTATACGTAAAACATAAGTGGCGACATCTAAGATACGCCACTACAAATGTGTACCAACAGATGGCGCTGTTACGAATGCACTATGCTATGGCATACCTACTCCACCGCACGTAGAATCCTGCATCGCGGTGTCGGAGTTTTCTACCCTGCCAAATTTAAATAGACAAACCAAGTTGGCCCTTGGTCCCCGAGCCCCCGCTCGAAAGGAAGCACTAAAACCTAGCTTCCATAATGTGGATGAACATTATATCCCACATTGGTGACCCCGACGTGATGTGAGATGTGTGTGACCTACTTAGTTCCATCACCACTATCTTCGGTGATCTTCGGAATCTAATATTAAAATCATAAATAATAAATTAATTTTACTTAGGTATTTCTTGCTTTTTAGTTAACTAATTATTACCTACCTTGATAAAATTCCCTGCATAATACAGGTTACCATATCGGCAACCTAAAAATACCTTAAACCGTCAGCCCACCTTAAAAACATAAAATAATACAACTGTTGGTCTATTTGTACCTATAATATTTAAAGAATTACCCTCCAACTCCTAAGCGTTAAGGAGTTGTACCTACCATCACCAGTTCATCATGATGAGATGATGACTATCTGATGCAAACACTTGAATAACTTTATTTATTTATTTTATGGAAAACAAACAGCATATAATATTATGTATTATTAATAGATGAGGCGGTTTATAAACTATACTTATCTATAAAATTAAAAGTCTTCCAACTTCTAAGCATTAAGGAGTTTTTCCTTTATCGTCAGCTCATTAATTTGAGATGACGATTTCCATCATCAATACTTGAATAACTTCAGAAAAAATATGAAAAACGATATACGTGCCTATAAAATTTGAGGGTTGCCCTCGATTTCCCTAGGATCGCATCATCAGATCCTGACTTGGTGACAATGGGACCATCTCAGAAGTGTACCCCATCGAACAACCGAACGGTCACGGCTCAAGATTTTTTTGTCCATTTCGGCGTTCTTTTTACTCTTTTGACGTTGCGTTGACAGTTTTTACCTAAATTCGCGCGGAATATTTTTGTGAAATGGCTCTTAACTCTTCCAAGAAAGCCCTTAGTATACCTAATTTAGTTTGGTACATGATAGATTTTAAGTAGGTAGGAATAGGAAGGTAGTAAAAGTATTTATTGAATAAGAAGCAACGAATTAGTACAAGTTGACTATATTCTCAATCCAATTTCGGTAATAACCAATGTGAAGTATCACGAGAGGTAAATGTCCGCTCTTGTCTCCCCAGGCGACGAGCCCCTTGACCTCGGCGCCGACTAGCATCGCGGAGCCGTGCTCTGCAACGGTTGCAGTACAAATGACTTTTTTGTCCCAAAATTGTGATGTCAAATCAACATGTTTTAAATAAAGGTGGACGTGCACTTGTCCGCGCCGCACGCGCCGCAGTCATCGCATTTTCTCATAGCCTCGCGCACTTGCCCGCATCGTACTCGCGCGCCGCACCTGCCGTCCGCATCGAACGCGACGAATTTCGCGATGCTCTATCTATACTATTTCATATAAAGATTTATAAAGTGCGATGACTGCGGCGCAGTGGCTGATTTACAGTTTTTCCGCCCGTAGGCTAGCATGGCGTTGGATTTTTATTTAACTTTTATCTTCTGAAATCGAGTAAGCGTCATCTGAAATCTGCCGCCCCTAGGACGCTGCCGCCCCTAGGCCGCGGCCTATACGGCCTATTGACAAATCCAGAGCCCCGATTACGGTAACTTTTAACGTCTACAATCCAGACACGCTTCTCGATTCTGCGATACGATTGGTCGTTCAACAGCGTATGTCAGCTGTTTTGACCAATCGTATCGCAGAATCGAGAAGCGTGTCTGGATTGTTGACGTTAAAAGTTACCGTAATCGGGGCTCAGGACTGCTGCGGTGCGTGCGGCGCGGACAGGTGCGCGTTCACCTTTAGTGTTACCAACCAATAGTATAGTTTTTCTTTAATTGCATGCAGAATTCATAAGATCTTAGTTCGAGGACTGGATTCATATACTGCCGACAGCGTTGTAAGGGTACGGGGCTCACAGGAACGTCCATAGGCAACCCTGCAAACAATCCTGGTAATATCATAGGCGCATGTACTAGGTATTCTACTTAGGTTCTTCTGGCTGATCCTAATTACCTACTTACTCCGCCTCTAAACAAACCCTAAACCAGTACGGGGCAGCTAAAGACACGTTACCTGTGATGCCCTCCCATCCCACCACTGACAGGTTGTGCGCGTTCATTTGTAGGTATTCGTCGCTCACATCTGCATCGTCCACTGCCAACATAATTGTTGATTATGTTCATGGTTTTGTATGACAAACGGTATCATTAATTAATAGGTTACAGATTAAAACTGCATCTATCCGAAATCAATGTTTCCGGCCTCTATTAGTATTCCATATACATTATTTAATTTGAATTGGAAGAAAAATAAATTCTATAATTTTTTTTAAAAAAATCTCAAAAAAATTTTGACCTCTTTTTTGTCGATAAAAATAGGTCTAGTTTAATCTATTTTCATATGTACACTTTAACGTGACTCACACTGTATAATAGAGAGAGATGGCAACTAATGTATCTATATGTTACTGTAAAAGCTCGAATTGCAGTAAATCCTAAGATATTCCAGTAAAACCTAAGATCTACCAATTCCTAATGGTAAATGTCCCAAAAGGTTTGCGATTCGAACTCTTACCACCATTTCGTTGGTAAATCTTAGGATTTACATTAATGGCACGGTAAATGTTGAAAAACAAAACATGTCAAGACGTTCTCAGGGCATCTCATCATCATCATCATCATCATCAGAAATTACTTCAATTGGAAAAAAATCGAATCTATCTTAATATTGAAGTTGCCCTCTTTGTATTTCTAGTCGCTCACTTAGTAAAGTAATCGCACGGACAGAATTTTAATATCTAAAATGGATTAAACATAACCCACTCTTTGTAAGCTCGTTCTGCATTTGATTATTAATCAATATTCGTCGTTAGTTAAGTTAATTTTTCGCTTACTCAAATTCATACCGCTCAAGTTATTAAAACAGTATGCCATCATCAGTCGCTAAGTTATTTTTTAGTCGATCGTTTTATAATTCCCCATTAAGAATTACTCATTGTTTTATTCCTAAAACCAACATCTACCAGCTGACAGAGGTAAAACCTAGCATATACTGAATTAGAATGGTAAAAGCTCGAAAAAATCGTCGTATTTTCAGTAATACTTACATTTACCAACTCATGTCGGTAAATCCTAAGACTTACACTTAAATCTTAAGATTAACCGTAGTTCGAGCTTTTACAGTAACATATACAATTAATTAGGTACATTATGAGAGCCTGAGAGACTTATTTCCAAGGTAATTTATCATTAAGGTAATCATTTGTAGTGTAATAAGCTTTTTTTTAGTAAGTAAGTGTTCTTTAACTATACTTTTAAATATATTAATGGGTAGTTTTTTATAGTCTTCAGGAACTTTGTTATAATAGTGAATACTCTCATCTGTCCCTTAAAAGTACCATATACTTTTTGAAGTCTAAGATTAGGTATAGCTAATTTATTTTTGTTTCTCCTCCTACAAGCCTCCTGTCCCCTAACTGGTGAATATGTCAATATGCATTTTCCTGACGTGAAAAAAAGAGTATAATAATACCGTCGGAGTATTTTTTACGAGTAGGTAGGTAGGTCCTACCACAGAATAAGTAATAGTACAGGTACAGAAGGATTACTCCGCAAGACGATTTAAATAAATGCGAGTCTTGCTACGACGCGATACAGTGGAATTCAGCTCGCACAGCACTAAGTACCTACAATTTTATTCACCTACAAGTTTTGTCTCTTTCTATCGCGTGCCTCTGAACTCTTCTTACGCTGTTAGGGTTGCTGTCTAGTAGTGTCTAGTAAAAAAATAATTAATTTACTTATTTGTAATGAGGTACGTATCGACGCGATACAGTGGAATTCAGCTCGCACAGCACTACGTACCTACAATTTTATTCACCTACAAGTTTTGTCTCTTTCTATCGCGTGCCTCTGAACTCTTCTTACGCTGTTAGGGTTGCTGTCTAGTAGTGTCTAGTAAAAAAATAATTAATCTACTTATTTGTAATGAGGTACGTATTGATTATGGAAAACCTTGGGAGAGGCCTTTGTCCAGCAGTGTGGACGTCATTTTTGACTGAAACGAACGAACGCATTCTGAGCAGTAGTCATGGTAGGTTAGGTTCCTATACTATCCTAAGAATTATTGATTACCTACATGGCCAACATACCTTTCAGCATCTTTGGGAAGCGAAAAAAAAGATAAATCCGGTAGATTTCTTTTCGAATTTAAACACCCGAACGCCGCACAATAATATTTCTTTCTCTTTATGTCCATTTTTAAATAATACTTCGATCATAGGATTACGTACTACAACACACGACAGCGTCCTGACGGGCGCGCGCGTGACACTCGACTGATATAATACCCGCCGGCGGGGCGCTTCGCTGTAGATAATTATCGAATGTACCGCGCGGAGTGAGCCAGGCCTGAGCCCCGATTACGGTAACTTTTAACGTCAACAATCCAGACACGCTTCTCGATTCTGCGATACGATTGGTCAAAACAGCTGACGTACGCTGTTGAACGACCAATCGTATCGCAGAATCGAGAAGCGTGTCTGGATTGTTGACGTTAAAAGTTACCGTAATCGGGGCTCTGGTCCTACCTACTCTCCATTTAAAGCTAAGCGTCCACATGTCGGTATCGTACGCATCGGACGTATCGCATGCAACGGATCGTAGTATTATTTATATGGAACTCATATAAGTGCGTCCATCTGTACGCATCGTACGCATCGCACATCCTATACGATGTGTTTCGTACGATGCGTCCGTTGCGTACGATACCGACAAGTGGACGCTTAGCTTTAATGTACACTCCTTACATCGATAATCATCCGTGAAGATGGGATCTGCTTGTTCGAATAACCCTATGTTGTTGCTGAAATCCTCTCCATTAAAGTGTGAATGCACTACACCCCGGACGATGTCAGTTTCTGAAAAATATATTTTATTAAATTAAAAAGTGCAAGTTGGTGTGTCGTGTACTAATTTGGTGTTACAAACTTAGGTTTCTTTAATTAAAAAATAATTAATATAAAATCGGAATAGTTTTAACTAAAAATTTACGATTTTCGCAGACATTGCTTCGTACCAAATTTCAAGATTCTAAGTTCACGGGGAGTACCCAGTAGGTTTTGATTCCCTCGCGAGTAGGGTTGCCAGGCGTCCGGCTTTAGCCGGACATGTTTGGCTTTTTAGGGACTTGTCCGGCCAAATATTGCCTTGTCCGGCCTGTCCGGCTTTTATTAGGCTTTTTATTTGGTTGCCGCGCCAGGCGAAAGTCGAGCCACAGAATCATATGAAACGCACGCATCAGGATGTTGGATAGTAACCGATGATGATAGTACTCACTCGTGAACTGACAACTAATTGCACCCCCCCCCCCCCGTCACATGTCCGGCTTTTAGGGTAAAATGTCCGGCCAAATGAAGCACAAAGTCCGGCTTTTGTGATTTTGAACCTGGCAACCCTACTCGCGAGTGTCATTTGAGGCATAAACGGCTGTATCTTTTGATTGTGTCGGCTGTTTGATTTTTTCACAGCTCCCGGGGATGAGGGACAGTATATGTATAACTCAAAGGTGACTGACATAGTGATAGTGATCTTGAATATTCTTAAATTCTTAAATATTCTTGGACATTTTACACTGCGCCGCTAGCTCCAAACTAAGCAAAGCTTGTACTATGGGTACTAGACAACGGATATAAACATACTTAAATACTTTTTTTTTTTAAATTACATTACATACATATTATACCTACATAGAAAACACCCAGTCCCTTCACAGAAATTAGTCTGCGAGCACGTAGAATCCAATGACCCCAAGCTACCCATCTAGGGTTGCCAGGCGTCCGGCTTTAGCCGGACATGTTTGGCTTTTTAGGGACTTTTCCGGCCAAATATTGCCTTGTCCGGCTTTTTATATGGTTGTCGAGCCACAGAATCATATGAAGCGCACGCATCAGGATGTTGGATAGCATCCGATGATGATAGTACTCACTCATGAACTGACACTAATTGCACCCCCGACAGAATGTAGCGACCCGCCTCACAACTCACACGCCACTACCCCGGAGAGATTTTACTGAGCATAACAGGTCCCAGATAATATCCTTCTAATCCTACCAAGTAGCTAAGTTTAAGGTAAAGTGCAAGGTACGAAAACTATCTACAGACAGAAAAGCAAGTCACCATAATAAAATAGAGAGAGATGGCAACTATTAATACAATATTACAAAATTTCCATATCACTCACTTATTAATTTTACTTTTTGAAAATGTGTATTTGGGACTTGATATAATTATACAGGGTGGAATTTTGTAATGCCACCTGGAGGGAAAGTACTCTTAATACTGTAGATAGAAAATTTTACTGAAAGAAAACATTACTTTATTTTTGAAAAGAAAGAGAACTGCATTCAAAGATTTTTGATTTTTTTTTTCGAAAATTCACTAGCTACCATACCACGCAATTTTCTGTACACAATTAAAATAATTTAAGATTTCATGGTTTTCCTTTCATTTGATTTATCAAGTTTGTTAGAGAGATTTTATCCTTTTACTTAACCCTAACGATCGATGCAATAAAATACAGGGTGTCATTTTTAACAGATTTTAGATGGTTCGATTCCCGAGTGTGGCAAGCAAATTTTTGGAAATCTTTGAATGCAGTTCTATTTCTTTTCAAAAATAAAGTAATGTTTTCTTTGAGAAAAAAATTCTATCTACAATATTAGGGGAGAGTTCGGTATATTGTACCGCCGGGTAAATTGTACCACCCTCATATTTCGTAAAGTATTTATTGAATGTCTGTAATGAGGATCAGTACTGTTGTAGAAAATTCAATAAAACTAGTATCTACGTTAATCTTTAAGACATAAGAAAGATATATCTTTTTGAATTATCCAAATCGGACCATTACTTACGAAGATATTAAGTAATAAACATAGGCCGTTTTTGCCGCTAAAAGTCAACGTACGCAGGGCCACGTGACGTCATTATATCCGAATCGAGCGCAGCCGGCGTACTATTGGCATGGAAAATATTTTTTTCCAGCTAAACTATCAGTTTTAGAAAAAAACTTTTTATAACATTTATTCATCAAAATAAAGTAACCTATCGACCAGTAATTTTTAAAAATAAAAATTGTGAAAAATAAGTATCGCTATGTCCAAAAACCACATTTTCATAGGATTCGATGCAATGCGGAGACGCGGTTGGGGTGAGTGTAATTTAATGATTGTTTGTATTGAACATAATAATACATAATATGATGCTAATACCCAGTTTCTGGTAAATCATACCCAACTTCTGGCCGAGGGGGAAGTCATGCCCAGTTTATGACCTGGGGAGAGGAGAGGGGCGGGGTAGTCATACACAGCTTCTAGGCTAAGATTAAATAGATTTCCAGCACGGAGCGGCTGTCCTTCCTGCAGCAGCTGGCCCGCCCATGGGAACGGCGAATAGATAGGTAGGTGCGTAGGTTTAACTCAGAAAAACTAAATAACAGGTAGGTATTATTGAAATCCAATTCAGTAACCCTGTGGTACAAATTATCGAACCGGTTGGCTAAATTGGACCGAAGCTCTGAACTCGTACTTTGTTGATTTGTGCTAAATATACAACAATCATGTTAATTAATACTTATGAAATAGTAAGTTGAATAATGTATCTTTTATTATATACCATGGATATTAGCAAAAACAAAAGAAAACTATGTGTAAAATGGGATTGAAAAAAACTGGTCCAAATTAGCGGACTCTCCCTTAAGAGTACTTTCCCTCCAGGTGACATTACAAAATTCCACCCTGTATAGCATGTTGGAAACTTGCAGACTCACCAAAATAGAGATGCGAGTGTAGGCGGTATGAGATCTTCCAGGCCGACAGCGAGTGCGCGGAGAGCGGGTGCGCGCGCGCCGCCACGCAGTGCGCCGGCGCGGCCGCCCAGCGCGCGGCGACCCGCACGCCGCCGCACGCGCGCCGCCCGCCCGCGCGCACCAGCGCCGCCTGCCCGCGCCCGCTCGCCGCCTCTGCGTCACAGTCGCAAAAATCTTCGTTCTATTGGTTCTATTCACTTATCTAGACACGCGGCAGCGTGTCAAGCCAAGTTCACGCAAATGAACTGGATAGCCAGCGCCGAGTGTAATATTACACGAACCATTTGATGCCACTTTTGACCCTTCTCTAACTCAAAACCTCTTTAACGTAAACACATAAAACTAGGGGAAAGTAGTACGAGATGATCCCCTTAAGCGGGAATCGCTGTAACATGCATATTTTTCCAGGTAAACCAAAAATAAAGACGACTACTACTAGTATATTAATCTATCCAACTTTCCTAATACTCAAAATCAGAAATTAATTGAAGTTTTAATAAAATATTAAATTTTTTGCAAAACCTTACAAAGTAATCATCTTGTACACCCCGTGGGTAAGATGATCCCTCAGGTAGGGGTAAGATGATTCCAATGTTTTTATTCTATGATCTATTCCTTTCTTTTCTGAGTACTTACCTAATTATGTGAAAAAATCGTTCAAAAGTAGCAAAAAATATTATATTTACGAATTGATGACGAAGATAACTTGTCTTATTCTCCCTTAGCATCTGCGTTTAAATTTTAAACGCTTTTTGGTAGGTGCTGTGTTGTAAATTTAAATCAATGCATATTATTATATCAGAAATAAATTCACCAGCTTCATCACCTTATATTCCTTAATTACCATAGGTATTTTATACAGACACTCCGTATCATCTTCTTCAGACTCAGGTGAGTTATATGAATTCTCTTTCTTTTATTTACTTCCCTATACCTAGTAGGTATAGGGTCCACTGCCTTTTTTGTTTTGATCCCCAGGGATCATCTTGTACATATACAGTGTGAGTCACGTTAAAGTGTACATATGAAAATATATGAAACTAGACCTATATTTGAAAATTATAAATAACTTGAAAAAATCGAACTGCCTAAGGCGGGAATTGAACCTATAAGACCCTAATAGACCTATATTTATCGACAAAAAAGGAGTCAAATTTTTTTTGAGATTTTTTTTTAATTTTTTATAGAATTGTTTTTCTTCCAATTACTTATCGTAAAGAAAACGTAATAACTTTTAAACTAACCGGTATATCCTGATGAAATAAAAACAGTATTAATGCTAAATAACAGGCGATACTAAAAAAAAATAATACACAAAAAATGCCAACAAATAATAAAAAATGATACTTTTTGAAAAAAATCTGCTTTTAAATTCGTGTTTTTTTGGTTATTTGATAAATTTCTCCAAAAAATGCCCCTATAACCGGTGGTTTTTATTACTTTGTATTATTCTCTATCGTATTATCTTTGTAAAACCAAAAATCGCATGTCTATATCCCTATCACAACATTTGCTATGATCGTTTGAACAAAGGCCTGCCACAACATTATTCTCCGCTACAGGTAGAGACAATTTTAATTTTAACTAAAATGCTTATTTTACTTCGAAATCTTTTGTTTTTATTTGAAATCTAACTTGTCTTTATCAATACTACAAATCTAGAGCCATTTTCAGTTTCGTTGTTAACGAAGCGTTGAATGGCGCGCCCGGAGAGGCTTAGTTCAAACGATCATTGCAAACGTTGTGATAGGGATAGAGACATGCGAATTTTGGTTTTACGAAGGTAATACGATAGAGAATAATACAAAGTAATAAAAACCACCGGTTATAGGGGCATTTTTTGGAGAAATTTATCAAATAACAAAAAAAACACGAATTTAAAAGCAGATTTTTTTCAAAAAGTATCATTTTTTATTATTTGTTGGCCTTTTTTGTGTATTTTATGTATTTTTTTTAGTATCGCCTATTATTAAGCATTATTATTGTTCTTATTTTATCAGGCTATACCGCTTAGTTTAAAAGTTATTACGTTTTCTTTACAATAAGTAATTGGGAGAAAAAAAAACTCAATAAAAAATTAAAAAATATCTCAAAAAATTTTTGACCTCTTTTTTGTCGATAAAAATAGGTCTAGTTTCAACTATTTTCATATGTACACTTTAACGTGACTCACACTGTAGAAAGGAATCCTCTTGCCCCAAGTCCCACTTTTTGTTCAATGTTTGCTAACATAATCTACAAGTAAGTACGCGACTATTTTCACATGACCAAAATATTAAAATTAAACATAATAGAAAACCTCAAACAGAACAGTTATTACATAATTTAATATTGTTTGAATAAAAGTAACATAAGCTCAAAGACTCTCCTCTTAGATCAGCCACATACACAATTTTAAAATAGACGTCGTGTATCGCTCACGCGACCATTTCACCATTGGGTACGATATGACTGAGGCGGGGAGGTGTCCCTGTGGGCTGAGCTGAGTGTGAGTTTATATCAAACGCGCTCACTAGTGATGCAAAATGTATAAAAATTTTAGTTTTTGAACGTTCCCGCTAGGGGCGCTGTGCATTCCGTCATACATTTAATGTCATTTTTTGACGCGCTCAACCAGTGGGTCTAGACAAAGTGCAAATTATAATCGCAAAGCAGTCGAAAAGCCCATTTTTTGTATGGAGTTTTGACGGATTCGATNTCCCGCTAGGGGCGCTGTGCATTCCGTCATACATTTAATGTCATTTTTTGACGCGCTCAACCAGTGGGTCTAGACAAAGTGCAAATTATAATCGCAAAGCAGTCGAAAAGCCCATTTTTTGTATGGAGTTTTGACGGATTCGATTTTCGATTCGATCAAAAAGTGCGTTTTGTCTAGGGGGGCAGCCCCCTTAGACAAAACGCACTTTTTGATCGAATCGAAAATCGAATCCGTCAAAACTCCATACAAAAAAGGGGCTTTTCGACCACTTTTCGACTGGTTTGCGATTATAATTTGCACTTTGTCTAGACCCACTGGTGAGCGCGTTTGATGTAAACTCACACTAGGCCACACTATGTTTTACCAGTGAAAGAAATTACCTACATAAATGACGTTAGTGGTTTCAGCACAATCGCGAAGGATCATCTTACCCCAGGGGATTAACAGACAGACAGAAGATCCCGAGATTACGTCCCTTACAATTTAACAAATATACCTACAAACACACAAACTTTACCTCTTTATAATATTAGTATATATAATAAATATTTTTAATTCTGATAAAAACTGTCCTATGGTACCTGAACTTACCGTGAACTTGTCCTTGGGTACCGTACCATGGGCCACCCCTAAGCCGCCTATTTAATTTTATATTTAACCTACATAAATGATTTCGTACTTATTTATCACATTTATCGTATGTAACATAGACACGACTCTTTACAAAACCCTAGAAAAAATTCAAAGGTGTTAGATCCCATGACCTTGGCGGTCGGGCCTTTTGAAAGTTTCACTGTGACATGGTTTCACGCAAATCATCTGAACGTTACACGCGCTGCAGCACTGTCTTCATCCATATCACCATAAATTCCAATTAGTTTACAAAAAAAAACGGTTACCTATCATGCGCCAAAACCGCTCACAGGGAGACTATTAAGTTGACCATAATCTTTCCACAAAAGTCGATAGATACATCATGGTTCCTACAATCTGTAGAACCACAATTAACCCGTAGAGCAATGGTAAAGCGAGTATTTTGTAAATTATGTAGGGTTACAATAAACTAACATCTGACATTTGAAACACGCGCCATTAAACTAACAACTAAAAATGTACAGCGTTGCCAAGCCGTTAGATTTTTAAAAGACTGGCTGCCTTCTAACACATAGGATCGACTGTATGCACAACTATCCTAGCGAACACCACTGTCTACGGTAAAAACAAAACTCTAACCCTTTACTAATAAAAGTTATTTACTCGTTGAACACTTGATTAAAGTGACGTTAAAGTTTGTGACTCCTGGCAAGTAGGCAGGTATAGCAGCATCTGGATGTTCCAATTCATCAGCGTGAGTAGGTATCTCCTGAATCTCAAACCCCATAATACTAAACAAAGAGACAAGACACTCGGAACCATAGATGAAATGCCACTCCCTGTGTAAGTTATCTTTTTTCAACTGTAATCTATACTAATATTATAAAGCTGAAGTTGTGGAAGATGACGCTCAACCACCATAAGGAAGCTATGGTGTTAGTGCAATTGTTTTATATTTTTTTTTTTTTTTTTTGAAGGGACGCGCGCTGGTAGCTTGAGGAGCTTTTCCAGCTTCACCGGGCAGAGTGGCGAGTACAGAAGGTACTCTAGCCGTTTGGCGATCGTCGGTGCGCGTGCCGACGAGGCCGAGTGTGGGCTTCGCGAAGCGAAGCCCAGGCTCGTCCGCGTCGGTCGCAGACCGACGTTCGCGATCGGGCCGTATCGAGCGCATAAGGCGCCCGATCAGTGGCGAACCCAACTAGAGGGTTGCCCACCGCGGTGTTGGACCAAAGTCCAGCCTACGGCGGGCTCACTCTAGTGGGCCCGATCGAGGGGACTACGGACGCGGCCTGAGGGCNATCTTGGTTTGTCTATATATACTGGGCAGGGTAAAAAACTTCGTCACCGCGATGCAGGATTGTATGCGCGGTGGAGTTTGCCATAGTAAGATCGTAACAGCGCCATCTGTTGGTACGGTTTGTAGTGGCGCAATTTATTAATCACAGTTTGTTTATTTGGTTGAACGCGCTAATCTCAGGAACTACTGGACCAATTTGAAAAATTCTTTTTGTGTTGGATAGTCCGTTAATCCCTGAAGGCTTTAGGCTATATATCATCACGCTAAGACCACTAGGAGCGGAGCACCAATGAAGAATGTTTCAAATCAGTGATTTTTTTCCTTTTGAGAGCTGACGCTGCGTAAACGGTTAAAGTTTCGCATAAATTATGTATGATAGGATTTTCCCCTTTAAAAGTTCTACAAAAAAGTCCGCGACAGCATATGTCTATCTTTTATGGTTGGCTCACTGTAACCTTTTTGTCTGGATGTCTGGATGTTTGTTCCTCTTTCACGCAAAAACTAATAAACGGGTTTTGTTGAAACTTTACAGTATTATTATTTATAACCCAGGCTAACATATAGGCTACAATTTATGATGATATGTGACAAACTAAATTTCAATAAATAGTTAAGAGGTGAGAAATATCTTTAAAAACGCCATCTATCGACGTGCTTTTGACGGTCGTAAACATTCATGAGAGCGAAGCCGTGAAACATATCATTAGTCCTAATTAGGAACTAAATATTACATTTATAGAACTGTTCATAATATTTAAAATTTAGTCAATAAAGATATTTTATGTAATTGAATAATTCACTGTGTTTAAACGAGCAAATCAAAGTCTAAATTAGTGACCGCCATCTATCGACGTGCTTTTGCGGTCGTTAACATTCATGAGAGCGAAGCCGTGAAAAGTATCATTAAAAATTTATGTAATTGAATCATTCACTGTGTTTAAACGATCAAATAGTATTCAAACATTTAGATAATAACGTTAAAAACCATTTAAAAATCCTATGAGAACTTTTTCGACTTCTACACGGACAAAGTCGCGGGCAAAAGCTATTTGTAAAATCATCATCATCATCATCATCATCATCATCATCATTTCAGCCATAGGACGTCCACTGCTGAACATAGGCCTTTGTAAAATAATTAGACTAAATTATTAAAAGTGCCTACACCCAAAGTCATTAGTCCACGCGGACGAAGTCGCGGGCACAGCTAGTGTAATAAAATAAATAAGTTGAGGCGCGAGAGACCATAGGTCGGAATATCTACCCTGTCTTCAGGTCTTTGATCGAAGATATTATTTTATAATATCCACTAAACTGCGCAAACTCGGGATACCTACTTAGCTCTAATGACATATAAGTCTCAAAATCCTTGCCTTGTTTCATCGAGCGCCTTCAATTAGGTTCAATTCGATCTCGCTAAGGAATCTCGTAGGTACAGAAGTTCTGGGCTATGTAGGTACCTACCTTCTTTCCATCTTCTCAGCACCAGCCCATATTATGCTGTCCAGAAGTTGGTGGTGGTAAGCTACATTTGGAACGTGTATAGGTGCCTCGAAAAGGGCCTATTATACTACTGAAGAATTTGAAGTAGAGCACGCACGGGAGGGAGCGCGCGCGCGGCGGGAGACGCGCCACGCGTCGCCGGCGTGCGGCGCGCGCCACAGGTGTGCGAAGTACACCAGCACCAGCACCAGCATTAATACAAATGTCACAACTAAATGTATAAATAGACATTTTTCACCTCGCGAAAATTTTGACTCCTTTCTAATATTTCCCCTAGATGACATGTTTGTTAAAAACACGCAAATCGACGTGGTCACGATTTGAGACTGAGGTCTACTTTGACCAACAAACGAGTTTAACAAACATTTAGGTTCATGGTGCGGAATGTTGTTGTTTCCACAACAGATAACTACTTATAGGCTAGTAGAATTAAACATGAAAAGTAATCAAATCGGTAACAATTCCTAATAAAAAAATACTGCCCTACTCGAACAAAAATTGGCATTTGAACTACAATATTTTACAAACGGATCCCTAAATCGAAAAAAGTCTTTAAAACTCCTAAGCCATTTTAAAAGACCTATCATATAGAAGATGAAAAAAATGACCCACTTTACATGTAGGGGAGCGAGCTACACTAAAAATTTTTTTTTTCTAAATTTTATTCTACCACTTTCTCGGCATGATTAATAGCAAAACCTCGGACGGACATGACGAAACTATAAGGGTTCCTTGTCAGCAGGACTAAGGAACCCTAAAACGAATCCAAAAAAAGCGCATTAAAAATAGAAAAATAATTTCGTTAATAAATAATCTTTGGCAGTCTAGGTGACAGTTAAGCTGACTATAGTCGTACTAGGTTTGGCTTAAAATTTTAGGCCATTCATTGGCGAGCATAAACCCCAAAAATTATAATAAATATTTTTTAAAAACAAGCTTTATTCTAAAATGCAGTTGTACCTACTAAAACGAAAAAAATAATTTTATGCAAGGTTCAAATAATTTCGAAAGCTTGTAAATACTTATCACACATGAAATTTATTCCTCTTTTTTCTGTTTGCGCTACAAGCTTTCGAAATTATTTGAACCTTGCATAAAATTTTTTTTTTCGTTTTAGTACAACTGCATTTTAGAATAAAGCTTGTTTTTAAAAAAGTTTTTTTATTATAATTTTATTTCATACTTTTTAGTTGTTTCTCAATCTCAGGGCCCTGGTCATCATTTAGCACCAAAGTGATCGGGAAGACAAATCCAACGAACCCAAACTCGATAAGATTCCACCGTTTCGTTTAGGAGTTCCTATGGCCACCTCCAGACTCCTTCATCAGGACCCTGGACATCATCTAGCACTAAAGTGCTCTAAAAGACAAATCCAACGAACCCAAACTCGATGTGTTTGCGCCGATTCGTTTAGGAGTTCCTATGGCCACCTCCGGAATCCATCATCAGCAGGACCCTGGAAATTATCTAGTAGTAAGTGCTTGAAAAGACAAATCCAACGAACCCAAATTCGATGCGATTGCGCCGTTTCGTTTAGAAGTTCCTATGGCCACCTCCTGACTCCATCATCAGACCAGCTCAATGGTACCATAATATTGCATTATCATCGTACTTACTTAAGTAGGTATACCAAATTTCAGCTCAATCAATGCAAGATTTGTCCCAGTCCCACACATACTAACAAGTGAAGTCAATATACAGCTTGTAATAAAACAGGCCATTTTGTTGTATACAGGGTGTTAGGTAAATGGGTATATGAGCCGACACTAGCCCATGTTAACATGGTCATATAAATGGTATGGTGAAGTCAGAAAATTGATATCTTCATTTTAATTATTTTATTTTTCATACAAATCGAATTTTATAAAATTTATTTTGTATGAAATACCATTTATATACCCATGTTAACATGGGCTAGTGTCGGCTCATATACCCATTTACCTAACACCCTGTATAAATTACTAGCTTTTGCCTGCGGCTTCACCCGCGTGAAATTTCGTTTGTCACAGATCGTCATAAATTATAGCCTATGAGCCTATTATGTTATTCTGGGTTATAAACAATAATACTTCATCAAAATCCGTTCAGTTGTTTTTGCGTGAAAGAGTAACAAACATCCAGACATCCAAACTTTCGCATTTATAATATTAGTAGGATTATAATCTATACTTATAATAAATCTGTAGAGAGGTCAATTCTGTACATGAAATATATTTTCAAAATAACTATCAGGGGGTGATTACTTGATTAGTGATCGATACTAGAGATGAAACGGATAGTTGTTTGGCCGGATACCGGATACCGGATATCCGGCCAGCTGCTAGGCCGGATAGCTTGCATAATATAGTTTGAATAATATTTCCTATTTTTACAACATTTGTCTTTACTGCTCCGCCCCTATTGGTTGTAAGGTAATGTTATTTATCTTAAAACCATCCTTGATAAATAGGCTACCCATAACAAAAAGAATTTTTCAAATCGGACCAGTAGTTGCTGAGATTAGCGGGTAAACTACAACAATTTATAAACAGTCATAACTTTTTACTGACAGCTTATTTTTTTTTCGTCCCATACTGAAAGTTAATCTCTATTTAAAGGTCTATAAGCCAATATAGGTCTCATTGGTGGTGGACATTTGGACCACTTTTGGTCATTGTCCTTTAGTGCAATTTATTTTAAAATTTACTTCCTTTTACAAATTTTATCGTACATGTGATTCCCTTGACGTTTACAACATTCGGTCAACATACATCAAAATTTTGGAAAACTTTCGTTATGAGTTACCTCGAAATGGATTCAGGATGGATGAATGCAGCAGAGTTTTTGGATTATTAGAGTATACTCTGCTCATAAGGTAACCCCGCAAAAAGAAGTCTGCTGGAATGAGATTAGCGCTTCTTAGAGGCAGTGAGATTTCATCCCTGCTTAACTGGTTTGTTGCATTGAAAGGATGATTAATTTTTGAGAATGCTATACTGGTAGGCCGAAAAGCTTTTTGATTTTTAAAGCTGCAAGATTCGCAAGGCTATGACCGGAGCACTTGGTTTCACCAAGATGGGGCTACGTGTCACACTTCAAATGAGAGCATTTAGATGGTAAGAGACATGTTCCCACAAAAAAATGATTTCAGGCAGGGGTGACATCTCCTGGCCACCAGGAAGCCTTGATCTCACTCCAGAAAATTATTTTTTGTGGTGTTACATTAAGAATAGAGTATACTTTTATAATCCAACAAACATGCAGCAAATGAAGCTGAGCATTCGGCAAAAAATTGAAAATAGGTTTCGAGGTAATTCTAACGAACGCATTTCAAGATTTTGATGTATGTTGATCGAATGTTGTAAGCGTCAAGGAAATCTCCTGGGCGATGTTATTTAATAAAGATAAATTTAAAAATAAATTGCATTAAATTTTCTTCAAATTGCAATAGTTAAAGTTCTATAAAAATTTACAGTTTTCGTTTACTTCAATTTTCAATTCGTCATTAGAGTGAATAGCCCAGAAAAAGAAATTAGTTTTTTGAAAGGCTTTTTAAAGAATGGCTTTTTTGTAACTTTTTGGACTTTAAATAAAAGCCGTCATTATTATAAGCCATTTTATTGATATTTACCTCAAAGATTAATGTATTTCATTTTATTGATAGGAAATTGTCGTAGTTTTTTAATATCCGGTATCCGGCCGGATAGTGAGTTACTATCCGGTATCCGGCCGGATAGTAAATTTAGGCCGGATATCCGGCCTACCGGATAGTTGCCGGATATCCGTTTCATCTCTAATCGATACTGATGCCAAAAATGAAATCAGTAAAATTTTTGTCTGTCTGTCTGTATGTTCCTTATAGAAACAAAAACTACTTGACGGATTTTAACGAAACTTGGTACAATTATTCTTTATACTCCTGGGCAGGTTATAGGATACTTAGGAATTCCCACGGGAACGGGCATTAGCGGGAAAATCCTTTTGTATGAAACATCTAAACCGCTTAAGTTAGACGCTTGAAATTTGGCAAGCAGGTACCTTAGTAAACTTAAAGCTTAGTTATAACAGGATATTGCAAAATGCCTACGGGAACGGGAGTTAGCGGGAAAAAACATTTGTATGAAAAAATCTAAGCCACGTAAGTTAGACGCTTAAAATTTGGCATGCAGGTACCTTAGTAAACTTAAAGCTTAGTTACAACCGGATATTGCAAAATTCCCACAGGAACTGGAATTAGCGGGAAATTCCTTTTGTATATCTGACTCACTGACATACCCACGCACAGCCTAAACAGCTAAACGTAGGCACTTGAAATTTATAAGGGACGTAGCTTAAGTACCGTAGAGGTGCACTAAGAAAGGAATTCCCGAAATTCCCACAGGAACAGGAATTACCGGGAAAATCCTTTTGTATGAAAAATCTAAACCGCTTAAGTTAGACGCATGAAATTTGGCATGCAGGTCCCTTAGTAAACTTAAAGCTTAGTTAAACAGGATATTGCGAAATTCCAACGGGAACGGGAGTTAGCGGGAAAAAACATTTGTGTGAAGAAATCTAAACCGCGTAAGATAGATGAAGGGGGTAAAACGGGATCCACGCGTACGAAGTCGCGGGCGGCCGCTAGTTTATACATATAAATAGTGAAAACTACAGAAAATTAAACAAGATTTGATAATGCAATTATTTATTCTAAGAAAATATTGTAAAATGGTTCTATGTAGATAAAGATCATAATAATTGTCATTTTATTTAAACAATTTAAAAACTTTCGCGTGTAGCACTAACTAGCGGATACTAAAAGACTCGATCAAGAGGAACCTATACCTATACAGGCTGTTGGGTAAATGGGTTTATAAGCCGACGAAGCCCATGTTAACATATTATGCATATAAATGGTATGGTGAAGTCAGAAATTTGATATCATAACTTTAATATATTATACGAAATAAAATTTATAAAATCAGATTTTTATGAAAATTAAAATGATGATTATAAATTTTTTGACTTCACCACACTATTATGGGCTATTGTCGGCTTATAATCTCATTTACCTAACACCCTGTATACGCGAAAATTCAGGCTTAATCCCAAATATATTAAATATCCACTATGATGTACAAAGGGGGATAATATGCAAGTATTACAGGCAAAGTTTCTCGAGATCGAACCTATACAAACAAACTTAATATACATTTACATAGTCCACGACATTACA